GCTCTTTGGAACCAAAAACTTCAGTGGCCCCCCATTTCACTGAGACTGCAAGCCTACAAGGCCCCACATGGTATGACCCCGACTGTCCCCCTGCCTCTCAGACCTTCTCTCCTGCTCCTCCTCTGGGTGCTCAGTCTTCTCCAGCCATGCTGACTCCTTGGTGGCCGCAACACCCCAGGCTTGCTTCTGCTGTAGGGCCTTTGTGCGGGCTATTCCCTCTGCCTGAGAATCTGCACAGCCCACTCCCTCCCCTCCTTTAGGCCATTGCTCAGAAATTACCTTCCCAATATTGTCTTAGCCTGATCACACTAAGATTTCAAATTCCAATTCACCCATCCCACTTTCTCAGTGCCCCTTTCTCTGTTCTACTCTCTCTCTTTTTTATCACCTGTTAACACACTATATAATTTATTTATGCATTAGGATTATTGTTTATTATTTGTCTTCCTGCTAGAGAATGTAATCTCCAGGAAAAAAGCATCTTGGGTTTGCTCACTGATAAATTCTGTTTAAACTGAACAAATAGTGGCAATAGATGCTCAATATACTTAAATGCGTAAATGAATGAAATGAATAAAAATAAATCAAATGAATGGATAATAATTAATGGTCTTTTATTTTACTTGGGGGAAAACTGAAGGAGGGAAGGATGAGAAGGAAGGAAAACAATATATATTTAATTTATAGTGTGGCAAGTGTATCTCTATATAAGTGTTGAAAACAGGAATTCCTCTGAGTCATGCTGAATCCCTTTCAGTATTTTGATCACATATGAACACAAAATGGATACCTGAAAATATCAACCTGCCTTCCTGAGCAGGAATATAATGGAATTATTCTTTATTTTATTAATTTGTTAAAAATTATTTGCTCTTTTCAGAAGTGTGCCATATGAAGAGAGGATCTCTACATTGCTAAACTGGCTGGACCTGCCCAAAGCAAAAAGGTAATGTCTAGTGTCAGAGAAGTGCTGGCACAGTGGGATATTTGTGGGAATAAAACAAAATTAATTCTTTATTTTTTTCATGAGTGAGTTTTAAGTTTTATTCACGTTAATTAGATATTCTGTTATAACAAATACTGTTTATTGTGTATATATCAAGCACTCAGGCAGGTTTATTTTTAATTCTCAGACTAACTTTTAAAGGTCAGTATTTTTACCCTCACTTAATAGTTGAGGAAACTGGGGTTTAGGCAGATTAATGGACTCACCTAACACCACAAAATTAGAGTTTGTATTTTAACACAATTCGGCCTGATTTCAAAACTCAATCCCATTTTACTATGGTGGCTCTTAACCAGTAGTGTACATTTCAATTACTTGGGAATTTTAAAAATGAAGTTTATTTAAATTAATTCTTAATCAAAGAAATATATATAGTTAAGAAAAGTCAAAATAATACTGTTGGATGGGTAGTGGAAAATAGTAATCCTCCACCTTTTCTCTACCCTTCCCTAATTTTTTTTCTCTTAACCACTTTTAATTCTTAGTTGTTTCTTATTGCAGTTTTTTTCTAATAACACATTTATACTGCTTCTTTATTGACTTTTCTATATTAGATCTTGACTGATTTTCCCCTATTACACACACCTCTCTCGCAATGTTACATAATCATTTCTTGTTACATTGGTAGTCAGTATTTACATAATTATGACTGACTTTATATGATTAGTATTATTACACTTGAGATATGCAGTGTAGTTTCTTGAAAAACTTTTATTTTTCCTGAGGTTCATAATTGCCTCAGCTTTGTTTTCTTAATTTTTTAAAAAATCTGCAGACCACTAACTCATCTCCAGACTGAAAAACTAAAAATCTCTTGGCTCCGTATTCAAACACACAAGGTATTCCCAGCTTTCTTTTTCAGACATGCCACCTGAACTCTCCATCTTGAGGCATTTCTTATTGACTTCATGCTGTTCTCCCCTACTCTCCTCCCTCTTTAATATAATTGTATTACTATTTTAGCAACTTTATAGCTATTCTTTAAATAATATGCATTTTTTCCTCATCAACAGACTGTCTTTGAACTTCCCACTTTATAAGAACACCACTACCATTCCATTTACCTTCCCCTCCCCCTTCAACATCCCCACTTGAAAACTGTACTTTTACGTTATCAAGGCTGATAATATTTGCATTCTACTTTGTAACCCTAATTAAGTATTCTCTTAAAAGAGGAAAACCATAAACAACATTTACATTATTATGATTATCTAAGTGTTATTCACTAAATAGCCAAGCTTTGTGCTATATAACTGGATTTCTTTCTCTTTGGCTCCAAGGTCTTGAACCACATGCTACTCACAGGGACTCTGAAACAGAGTCCACTTTCTTACACTCCAACCTTCTGTTCAAAATCCTGCAGCATTTTACGTTGTTTGCTATCAGAAGGATGCTTTTCCTGTACAGTTTTCGGTTTTCACTGAAAATTTCTGATTGTCACTGTTTTCTCTTGTGGGATGAAGAAATGTATGCCTTCCACATCGTATCCTTAAGATTTTCACCTTCTTACTCATTCAACGTCTTGCTTACAATCCAATCCAATATTCCTGGAATTTATGATTTCTTATTTTAACTTGGATCATAAGCTTGTAACTTAAAATTTTTTCTTCCCTAAACTTTTAGTAGCCTTCTTTTTCTTACTGCATCCTGTTCGACCTGTTTTTGTTTTAAGGATGCACAGCTTATTAAATATTGCCGTGTGCCTTAACCGAGATTCCTCGCTGTTCCCGGAAAATGGCGCGTTTCCTCTTTCTAGTCACGCCACGCGCTCCGCGACCTCTTGGGAGCCGGGTTAAGACGGCAGAGCGCAGCCGCGGAGGGCGCCCAGGCATTCTCGCGAGACTGCGGCCGTCCGCTTCGCCTCGGGGCCTCATGGGAGTACATCGTTGTGGTTGCCCCGAGGCCGGTGTCTCAGTTACGGCGCTAAGTGTGTGCCTGCAAGCGGGTGTTGAGGATCAAGGAGCCCGGGACTTGGAAGTAGGGAAACTTCCTGTGCAGCTGCCAGGCCAGCTCGAAGAGGCGAGCTGCGTGCGGGACAGCCCCTTGCAGGCCACCCCGTACGGGCTGCGGGCCGCGGCCGGCCTCGAGACGCTGAGGGCGGAGGAAGACGGAGTCGCCGCGGTGGCCGTGGGCCCCGTGTCGCTGCTCCCCCAGTGCCTGGAGCCGAGGGTCACCGCAGGCCCCGCGGACCCCCGACCCAGGGCCGGAACGGGCAGAGGAGGGGGTCTAATTCTTTAAATGACCATTTTTGGGGGGGGGGAACCTTGGCATTTCCTTTCAACGGGCACTTTTCAAGAATTATTTCTGAGAGCAGTTGACTTTTTGCTCTTGAGAATGTGGTTGACATGATGGGACGATATAGACAGAGCTAGTACCAGAGAGCGGAGGCAGATCTCAGAACCAGATATGGGCTGGGAGCAGGACTGCGGTGGATCTGCAAGTTGGTCGTGAGGACTGACCCCGGAGCCAGAGGGGCCGGGGCAAGGCCGGCCCGGGGATGCGGTCAGAGCATCCTGGAAGAGAGCGCCAGGTCAGCGGTGCATCTGAGACCAGACGTTTAAAGGAAATTTCAAGGAGCGGCAGAACAGAATCAGCAAAAAGTCAGAAACCCGGAAATATGAGGGCTGAGGGGCACCGAGACAGGTCTTCACAGCAAGAACAAGACAGGCTTTCGTTACTGAGTCCGACCAGCGCTTACAGCCCGGAAGGTCTTAATTCCTGTCAGGAGACTGTCCCTACTCGGGCCAAGTGGGACCACGGGACCCCGATGAAGAGACGGAGGCCAGAGGAAAAGAGGAGACGGCCCCAAAGTTCTAGATCTACAAAGTTCCCGAATCCAACTTGTAGGTTTACTCCGGGTTTACTGATGTCCTTCTCTGTTTCCATTTCATCCCTAGACCTGATTTTTATACCCTGTATGTGGGACAGCCTGATTCTGCAGGACACGAAAAAGGACCAGTCAGTGCTGCAGTAAGTTTCTTTTTAAAACACATGTAAAACCATCTAGCCCTAACCCACAAAATAAAATGATATTCTGTAATTCCCATTGAATACAAATGTATTTGATAAAATAGTTAAAAATCTAAAAGGAATATCTGCCTTTTTGTCCACAAAATAGTTTAAAAAGGATATCTACCTCATTAACCACGTTTTGATTCATTTGATAAACACGTATTGAATAGGTGCTTTGATGTAGCACTGTTATTGATATATGAAAGCATCGAGATAGATACCGCGTGTGGCAAGTTAATGCATTAGTGCAGCTGGTTTCGAGCTAGGTCCCCTGTAAGTCCACGGTGGAATATCCAGCTGTCTGTTCATGCACAGTTCTGTTGATGAGCTCCTTAAAATTGGACTTAAGATATTGCCTCAGACAGAGTTATTCCCCTCCTGGGCCGCCGTTGTAATTGCAGTAGACTTTTTACTATTAGTTTCTTCATTATGTAAACTGTTCTGTTACACTTTTACTACAGAAATATAGTCCTTAAATATTGCTTAAGAAAAAAAAGTCATCTCTCTTCTAAAATTTATTCCATCCTGTATTGTCTTGGACATGACTGAAAGCTGCAATGGTGCCCACGAGTATGGCATTTCCCTACCCCGTGGAAACTCATTTAACAATTGTCCTCAGTTGGAACACAATCATCCTCTATTGGAATGCAAGCGTATTTATTCTGGCAGCATGGCTTTGCAGTTTATCAGAAATGCCCTTCTTCCTGCTTTCCGTTAAGCCAAAATGATTCTCAATACAAGGCTGGGTCCAAGTCTGACCGCTTTAACCCTTTAGTCCCCCTCTGTATTCCAACACCACTCTTCACTGCATCACAGGATTGAACACTTAATCAGGTTATTCTAACGGTGAATGGCTTAGTAAATATCTAAAGTATATTCACTGTTTGTTCTTTTCTGTTTTGTTACCCATATTTGGTATGATTAATTACTTGAGAGGGGACACCACAGTCTGTGTGTGTCTGAACTATACCGCTGACTTAAGATTAAGTGTGATAACTTCTATTCAGTGCTCCAGGTTAGCACCCAAGTAAATTTTAAGTATCATTTTGAAAAGTGCTGCAAAGGAAAAGATCAGGGTGCCCTGAAGGGTCTTTGAGGAGGTCCTAACCTAGTCTGGGTGGGGTGGGCGTTGGGGCTGGTTAGAAAGTTCTCATCTGAATAACAAAATGGAAAAAAGTTCACCAAGGGCCCACTTGAGGGAGGAGTTGAGCACATTAGAGGAACACAGAGAATGAACAAATAGACAGATGGCGAGACAAATGGACAGTGTGATAATGGTAAGAATAATAATAGCACCTAACCCTCATTGCGTTCTACTCTGTGCCAGGTACTGTTCGAATTGCTGTATGAGTATTATCTCCCACCAATGTGGGGAACATTGTGAACCAGGGGAGAGGGCTCAGAAGAAGCCTAGAGAAGGAGGCAGGCACCAAATCATGCACGTCCTTATGGGCCATAAAAAGTGCAATGGGAGGCATCGAGGGAAGTGACATGATCAGATCTGTGTGTGTTTAAAAATCACTTTTATTGTGTAAGAGGAATGGGTTGGAGGGAGCAAAAGAAAATGGGGATAGGCAAGTTAGCTTTTGCAACATTCCAGAAAAGAGATTATAGTGACTTGGACTGGGGTAGTGGCAACCATCATGGATGGAAGAAGATGCATTTGAGATGCATTAAGGAGACAGACTTGGCATGACTTGGTGTGAGATGGGTGACTGGGTTGGGAGGTCAAGGATGATTTCAGGTTTCTATCATAAGCAGGCAGGTGGTTCTGTTTACATTAATTATGACTGTTGAAGTGGGATAGGTTTGGGGGAGAAGATCATGCTGTGATTGAGGTGCCTGTGACGTCTAAAGGAAGATATTCAGAAGACCATCGAATATGGATTTAAAGCTCAAAGGAGATGAAGGTCAGGCAGCTTGGCAGCGTGGAGATGGTTCATGGAAGAGGCGATGTCCTAGGAAGAGAGTGAATAGTGAAAACAGAAGAGGGATTCAGACCAAGCCTCATTTAAAACTTAAGAAGAAGAGGCAGAATGGTGGAGAAACTGGAGGGCTTCATAGCTTTATTGTTATTGTTAGTTTTAATCACATACTTTTAATTCATAGTTCGTATGACAATTTAAAAGTAAAAAGGCTATTTTAGTTTGTTTTGACTCATTTATTATGTTGAAAGCTTATTAACTTGTTCTAGATTTTTCAGTTAACACTCTTGTTTTTGCTCTACACGCCCCTTAAGGCCTTTTTTTTTTTTTTGTGAGGAAGACCGGCCCTGAGCTAACATCTGATGCCAATCCTCCTCTTTCTGCTGAGGAAGGTTGGCCCTGGGCTAACATCTGTGTCCATCTTCCTCTACTTTATATGGGACACCGCCACAGCATGGCCTGACAAGCGGTGCATCGGTGCGTGTCTGGGATCTGAACTCACGAACCCTGGGCAGCTACAGGGGAGCGCACACTTAACCGCAATGCCACCGGCAGGCCCCAAAACTAGCAACTTTTTTTTTTTTTAATTTTTATCTATTTTTTTCCTCCCAAAGCTGCAGTAGATAGTTGTATGTCATAGCTGCACATCCTTCTAGTTGCTGCATGTGGGACACAGCCTCAGCATGGCCAGAGAAGCGGTGCATCGGTGCACGCCCGGGCCGCCAGCAGCAGAGTGCGCGCACTTAACCGCCAAGCCACGGGGCCGGCCCCGCTAGCAACTTCTTAATAGCAAATTTGTTCCATTGAGTCTCTAGCATTGAAGTTAAATTAGGCACAGAATGTCCTGAGTGGTCTTGAGAACCTTAAATAAATGACCTACCTAATACTTTAATAAGATTCAGCTGTTATTCATTACTGAAAAACAAATTATTACATCTTAGATGGAATGTAAGATTGGGAAGAAAAATTCAATTGAGAAAAGAAAATTGAAATTAAGAACAGACTGATTTAAATCTTGGTCATGCTCGTGTACATGGTGGAAGAATTCAGAGCACTGAAGAACTCAACTCTTGAGGAAGCATGTGGAGGTAAAACGAGAGGAAGGATGTTGTACCTTTTGAAAAGCAGATTATTTCAGTGCACTGTAGAACTTCGGGGTAGCAGCTTCCTCTGCAACCTTGAATTCCGTTTTACAGAAAGGGACTTCAGGAGACAAAGAACACTTGTTCACTGAGGGTCTTACCAGTTAATTCATTGTAGCAGGACTGGTTTTACTGCTTCCACAGTACCCACTGTGAAGGTGAATGATCGTGATTCCATGTGAAAGGAGCAGGGTTTCTACCCAAACTTGGTTTGCCCCACAGCTGCAAACATTTCTATGCCTGTTAATGATCTTACCGCTCAAAAAACTGCTCACTCATTGCCTGTTAAGGGGATTTCTTCTTCCTTTCCTTTCTCTGGGCTGGAGTAGGGGGCTGACATCTAGTCACGTTCAGTAAGATTGCCATCTATGGAGTGTGCACTTTGTGGGGCTCTGTGCTTGGGAAGCATGTGATGAGTGAGGTTGGACGGTCTTTCCCTGCGGGAGCTCGTGCTCTCCTGGGGAGGCAGACACATGCACAGATGGTTTCAAAACTGTGGAGAGTCCGGTGGTGGCAGCATACCAGGGTGCTGGGTGAGGACAGAGGAGGAGGGCTCTCAGTGCAGTTGGGAGGAGTGGGTAGGGTGACTCTGTGAGAGGGGACACAACTATGTCACGATGACAGGTGGAAACCGTGACTCTCACTGGCATACCAGAGGGCATGGTCACCCTGAGAATGAGGCTCAGGAAAGCATGTTGGAGTTGATGGATTTAACAGTAGATAGAGATGGTTTGAGTTCAAGTCCTGCTCTGTCCCTTGTTAACTGTGTGGCCATGAACACGTTTCTTCACTTCTTAAACCTCAAGTTTCCTGGTCTCTACAACTGGAAGGTCCAATAGTACCATCCATGAACGTTTGCTGTGAGGATTTTGTGAGACAATGCACTAAACTTCTTAGTGGTAATTGGCTTGAAAAATTCTCTCTCAAAAAAATTTTAAAAAAAGGCAATCATTGTTAATTATAGTACTCTTATAGTACTACAAGAGATTAAACATTGTTTCCCAATCCCATTGCTGTGACACTTTCTTATTCACTGAAAAGAATAATGAAAAGTTATATCAGTAAACGTTATTCACTTGAACCTTAAGTCAATTCAATGCACTATATTGATAAAGTGTAGAAAAATTTAAAAACATAAAAGAATATAAACAATAAAATAAAAATGAATTCAATTCCCCAGGCAGAGACAACCACTTAATAGTATCTTGATATATTTCCTTTTCGTTTTCTGTATGTGTGCTTTACTAAGAAATGCTAAATACATTTAAAAACAAAATTGGGATTCTGTAGTATGTCTGGGTACAGTTTGGTTAAATCAAATTAAAACAGTTTGGTTTTAATTTTTTATGTTTAGCATTGTATTGTGAGCATTTGCCTATGGCAAGTCCTTTATTTTTTTATTTATTTATTTTTTTTGTGAGGAAGATCAGCCCTGAGCTAACATCTGATGCCAACCCTCTTCTTTTTTCTGAGGAAGATTGGCCCTGAGCTAACATCTGTGGCCATCTTCCTCTACTTTATATGGGACGCCACAACATGGCTTGACAGGCAGTGTGTTGGTGCGCGCCCGGGATCTGAACCGGTGAACCCTGGGCCGCCGCAGCAGAGCGTTCGCAGTTAACCACTTGCGCCACTGGGCGGGCCCTGCCATGTTCTTTAAAACATTTTTTAAAGGCTGTCAAGTATGCCTTCTTAAGAATGTGGCATAATTTATTTTTTCGTGTATTTAAATTATAAGTAAGGTGATGAATATCCTTGTATGTAAGTCTCCATTTGTACTCTAAGTGTTTTCTTAGGCCAAATGCCAAGAAGTAGGATTATTCGGTTACAGGATATGCCCCCTCCTTTTTAACTCTCTGGTTACACATTGTCACATGATCCTCCAGACCACATGTAACCATTTAGGCTCCTATAGAAGAGTCTGTGGACGCCCCTCCCCAGCATTGGTCATTATCATGAACACCTTTGCCGTTGTATAATGTTTGTTGAGGTTGAACATATTTCTCAGATATTTATTGGCCAGTAGTCTATCTTCCTTTGTCAGGAACATGGTCTAATATTTTTGTTTATAGAAATTTAGGGAATTGATATTTGATAAATGTGGTAGCGTGGATGCTGGGCTCTGATGTCCTATTTCAAAACTCAGCAGTTCAGAGAAGGAAATGTATTTAATTTTTTGATTGAGTTAAAAATTAAAATTAAATTTTTGATTAAATTAAAAATTAAAATTAAAATTTTGATTAGAAAATGATTTGGTTATTATACCTTAATTCATGAAGACCATCTTAACTCCAATTTTTTTCTTAGGTAATTCAAGCATTACAGTTAGTAGATAACGCTTTTGGAATGTTGATGGAAGGCCTGAAACAGCGGAATTTAGACAGTTGTGTCAACATAATCCTTGTGACTGACCATGGTAGGCCTTTTTTTTTTAGATCGTATTTTATCGTTGATTCTATCTTATCACTTCAGGGAGCAGACAAAAATAATAATGATATTTTAAAGTCTGTACTTCTACACCTAGAAGCGCTTGAATGAGCCAAGAGTGAGTTAGTGGTAGGCTGTGATGGACAGAGGACTAAAATTAAAATTTCTAGTTTAATTATTTTAACATTCCATCTGAACATCCATCCATATACTTAATTTTCTGTAAAAATGAAGTTAGTGGTACTTAACAAAGATGTGATTGGGTTGTTATTCAGTCACAAAAAGTACTTTTCAGGCCTTCTTTTCAGCGGGAGTTTCATTCACATGGATTGGCTGCAGTTTACTATATTGGCTGGTTTTACCGTGTCCTGTGTATTATTTTTTTTGACTTGTATGAATAGACTTCTATGAAGTCCCAGTCACCCCACGTTTGTCTGCTTGAGGTGAACTCTCATCTCAGCTAACCTGAAGTTCAAGGAAGTGGAACAGCTGCCACTCTGCCACCTCACACAGTTTTGAAGTCCTCATTCATTCAACACATATTTTTTAAGCCCTTACTCAATGCTGAGTACTTCACTAGACATGGCACGTTCACAGGTACCTATAGCAGAAATGGACCTTTTCTAGTTGGGTCATCAGAACCATCTTTTCTAGGAGGACATTCAAGCTAAACTCCAGTATCTCTGAAGGAACCAGACATGGGGCAAGAAGAGGAAAAGGAGCAGTCTGCAGAACTTTTGTTTGCGTTTTAGGACATCAAGATAATGTGAAACAGTAATTTATTTTAAAAATTTCTAAAATAGTTCCCTAACAATTATTGTTTTAAAATTAAAGGAAATATTTTAGCACATTTTGTTAAAAGAAATTATAAAATATAAGATATATAAAAAGAAAAATCATAAAAATACAAATTGTGATATAGTCTGAAGAATCTTCAAATAAGAAAGGTTTAACTGCTAAACCTGGTTTAGAGCACATGCTGCTTATATAAATTTAAATAATATGCTTATGGAAAGTAAATATTCTCTAGTCCTTATTCTCTTAATCTATTGTTTCATAAAAATGCATGTTGCCTTTTTGATTTAAAAATATATCATGTTGCCCTACATACAAATCAGATGTTATAAAGATCTAATTAGCTTCCTACAGAGGATTTTCTTCGAAATGACTTTAATTGATCGACATTCAACAGATGATCTGTTGATAATTCCTGTCTGTTCTTCTCTTATAAACGTGACCCTTCTCTTCCCCTGCCAAGATTTTCAAGATCTGCCATTTGGAGTAGAGTACAGGGTAGATCATATAGGTTCACAGGAAACCTGGTTTGAGATCTGTGAAGTAAAGTGTCTCCTATTTGACATGATTAAAGACAACCAACTGTTACCGTCTATACATTCAGTGGGTAATTTTTTTTTTTTTTTCAGGAATGGATCAGACTTACTGTGACAAGGTGGAATATATGACTGATTATCTACCCCAAATAAACTTCTACATGTATGAAGGGCCTGCCCCCCGCATCAGGGCTGATAATGTACCTCAAGACTTTTATAGCTGTAAGTATGAAGATGCCCATGTGGAAAAAAAAAAGGTAAAACTTAAGGTGAATAACCGTAGTCCCCAAGTCTGAGGATGTAGGGATTACTAGGCACCTCTTCTGACTTCTTGGGAAGACCACACAGAAGCAAATAAGAAATTCCCATGTTTAAGGATAGTCAGTCTATGGAGTCTGTGGTAATATCTAATATTGTTAGGTTAAAATATATTCTATCCATTCTTAAATGCTAAAATAATTTTTTGCTTAAAATCATTTTTTATTTAATTTTACCAGATCATAGTCTTTAATAAATGAATGTGTCAAATTCATGTAAGTTGTTCACATTTTTCAGTTATCAAGTATCAATTGTAATGTGATTTATTTATTTTCTTTTTAAACAGTTAATTCTGAAGAAATTGTTAGAAACCTCACTGTAAGTATACAATCTCCTAATAAATCTATTTAAGTTAATGTAATGTCTTTAATCTGGGTTTCAAGAAATTTATATTCTATACTTCTGAGTCCAAGCCACTTGTAATTTATTTTTTAAACCCTCCCTCTGCATTATTTTATATGCATATGAGTTGCTTTTATCTTAGTTGTTTTCATTTTGGAGTTGACACTGTCATAGGAAATTAGTTTGGGGTAACAGTGGCACTGACTCCTGGTTTTCATTGAATGGGCTGAGGTTTCATTCAAAGGGGCTGTGCTAGAGAGCTTCAAGCTGCATCGCTTTTCACATTTTTTGTGTGACTTAATATCAGAAAATAGGGAATCACAGACTCTACGGATCTTTTTGAACAGGTCAGAAAGATCATCTCCTTACTCTCTAAGTATAATTGCAGCTGCTTTTGATTGGTTCCATATCCCAGGTTGTAAGTAAACAAGCAGGACAAATTCCAAATAGTTTAAAACAATCTGAGTTTTTCAAGGTGGAGTTCACTACACCTGGAGAGACCTGAAATATTCTTGTGTGGTAGTTTTAATAGTGCTCTATTTAAAATATATTCACAAATACATATTTATTATATAGAATTCATGAGTTTACCATTGCTTGGCATGGGGCTCAATTTATTTAAGTATAAGTGGTGTGCAATTATAGTAAAAATGGTTAGGATGAATGTGAATGACTGAAGATAAGGACACACCAGGTAAGGAATGGTTACTGTAACCCCGGGGCCCACTGTGAGTTTGAAGGAGGAATGGCAGCTAGAGCAGAAATCCCTTAGGATGTCAGTCACTCCTTTTTCCTCTTGCCCTTTCTGAGATTCTGATCTTGAGTAAACAGATAGACAGTCTCACCCCCTGCTGGTGAAGGGTGTACACACAGTGTGTTCATGCTGATTGGGTGGGTAGTCAAGAATTAACATGTGGACACTCTCAATCTGCACATTGTTTTCCCATTTTCCCATCACTTCATGATCCATGTAGCTGCAGTCCCATTGGTGGGTGAGGAAGGACAAATCCCCAGTAATCCCTGTGGTGCAAGGGGATTGGATCCCACAGGCTTTGGAAATCTATTACTTGGCAGCACAGATATGGACTGGGCCTGGAGCTACAGAACCCTGAAGAAATGGACTACCATTTCCTGAAGTAGTCTGTTATTGCCAGGAAAATATTCCATGTGGTAGTACAATATCCCCAGTAATGCTGTTCTGTGGGCCTGTATTGAGCGCATATTAGACAAACATAACCAGACATGAACTGGCAGGTCTAAGTTCTGGCTGCGTGACAGACAGCAGCAGCAACTTTGTTCTTAGATAAAATGACCTAAATTTTATCTCAACTCTGGTGTCTTCCTCTCAAATGCAAAGAATAACCCAGTACTTCTTCAAAGGTTGGCGGGTGTACCCCTGATTTTCTCTGGATTCACTCTGGCTACACACCCAGCTAGGAAACTGACTCCTCAAATGATCTGCGGTCCGTAAGGGCGCATTCTAGTCCCTTGTGTCTTTGAGGAAGCTGCATACACTGCAGCTGCCATTATGCGCTTGTCTGGAAGTTACAAAAATACTGGCTTAAGAAGGAAGTAATGACAGATGAAAAAGTAGAAAAATAAGAAGCCTGGAAAAGATACCAATATAGGCAAGAAAAAAACTGGCAGAAATATCTGTGCAATAAATACTTTTCTCTTCCCCTTTTTCATTCCTTAACTCTCTTTACTCTCTCGTTTTCTATATTTCTTTTTAAATTTTTTTGTTCAATTTCATAGTGTCTCCTATTTTTCTTATATAAATTGAGCATGAGATAATAGTGACAGATTTGAAATATTTATGAGATTATCAAGGCTTAAACTAAATGAGAAAATGAGGAAGTAGAAAAAATTCATTTCCTCATATTTTTACCTGTATTTTTTTTTTCTCTTGTTTGTCAAAAAGGTCACGAGGGAGAAAAAGTTCCTTTGTAGTTCTATTCCTCATTTCCTCACTTTTTTTACAGAGATAATATGATTTGCATTCTTATGTAGTTTTAAAATATGCCATCTAGTTACAGCAGTAATTACTAAAGAAACAAAATTTCACTCCAGTTTGTGAGAAATCCATGAATTTTTCACAAATAGGAAGACTGCACTAGATTTCAAAAACTGTTGAATTGATTTGAAAATTAAGCAAGTGTAGGTTTTTAAAGGGTAAATTGAGTCAATTGTGAAGGGATTTGGGGTTCAATTAAACTGATTTTTAAAATTTTTACTCACATCTACTAGTGTATTTTATACTTTTCATATGTAATTTAGACACAAAAGTTGTAATTGCCTTTCTAAATCTAGACTTATATCTGTTCTCTGTCAAAAAAGGAGGAGAGATTTATGGTGATTTAAGATATATACACAGGAATAAAAACTTAGAATATCAAACTAATTTACATATTTTTAATTGCAACCTAATTATTGTTACAGCAATAAAAATGCCTATTCTTAATAATGAGGGAATGTAGCTGCATTGATAATAGGTTTAATATCTGTTTTATTCACCAAGCTTAAATCCTCTTACTTTTAAAAAGTGCTTAATAAATTGTTTTAGGAGATGAAATTGTTGAATTAGCTTGCATATTTATGTATTTATTTTTTTGTGAGGAAGATCAGCCCTGAGCTAACAACCATGCCAATCCTCCTCTTTTTGCTGAGGAAGACTGGCCCTGAGCTAACATCTATGCCCATCTTCCTCCACTTTATATGGGACACCGCCACAGCGTGGCCTGACAAATGGTGCCTTGGTGTGTGCCCGGGATCCGAAACCAGGCCGCCAGCAGCGGAGCACGCGCACTTAACCGCTATGCCACAGGGCCGGCCCTAGCTTGCATATTTTTTAAGCATCATGAAGAAATCATTTACCTGTTTTTCAGTGCCGAAAACCTGATCAGCATTTCAAACCCTATTTGAGTCCTGATTTACCAAAACGACTACACTTTGCCAAAAATATCAGAATCGACAAAGTTCATCTTTTGGTGGATCAACCGTGGCTGGCTGTGAGGTTCGTGTGTCTTTTTACTTCTCTCGTAATACTTTTAACAACCATCTTTCATTATAAATTTTCTTCACTTTACCCTGCTACTACGATCATGTAACTTTTCCTGAGCATTGACATTTTCTCAACATTTTATATGCTATCTAGCACTCCTGCATTTGTAATGACTGTTATTAGATTGCTGATCCTAGCATCCTAATGTTCACAAATATAGATGAGAGTGAGGAAGGCTGAGACTGTTCATCGACTGTTCCAGAGACTGTCGGTAGCGACGCAGTCTTAATCCCTATTGGGATCTCCTTTAGGCAGCCGACAGGATATAAAGATGACAGCTGTCTTCCAGGCTGGTAGTAAGATGGCTGTTTAATTAAGATCTTTGTCGTCTTTGTGGTTTTTATAAAAGAGCATGTTTATGGCTATAAAGCCAGGCTAACCAATTAGTTGTAACATTTATTTCTTTTTTCTAGTTACAATTATAATTTATTTGATTGTTCAGCATTTGCAAAATATAAGTGTGTTTAGAGAAAATGAAAAGCATTCTGAATCTCTCCTTCCCAAAATAACCAAGTAATTAATGGATACAACACAGTTTTATTGATGCTTGCTACGTGTGTGCTGGGTCGGTTCCAGGCGTTTGGGATACAGACATGATTCCTGCCCTCCTTGTCAAATGGACAAGACTGATAACAAGCCAGTAAACAAATAAATACACACTGTCTGGTAGTTTAATGAACGTTTCCTACTTTTGTATTTCATTCCCGTGTTTTTTCCATGGGCATAGGAGGTTATAAATAGAATCAGGATCATGCTGTGTTTTCTGGCCTATCTTGTGTGTGTGCTGTGTAATGCCAAGGGGCTACGGAGGACGATGGGAATACAGTGGCTGAGAGATATGTTTAACAGAGGGGAGACAAAAGAAGATGAGAGAGCTGAGCTCTAATGTAAGTGTGTGCAGGGGGAGGAACTAGAGACTTGGCAGAGCCTCTGCTTGAAGATGTGTAACCAGGAAACCCACGCAGTGCATTCGAGGCCAGAGAGGGTGCAGCTCACAGCGGTCACTAGATGGCGCTGCCTCTCTTCTTGGGATTGGAGTTTCACAGCCTTTTGTGTAGGTCAGCGGGCTGGTCTAGGGCTCAGGACAGTGTTCTCTGAAAAAACATTAAACTATGTGAACAAAATTAAGCTTTACTAATATTAAGTATATAAGATTGTTAGTAATGTATGTATATAATATATAAATAAATGTGGGTAAGTTCTCCAAATATTTACTGTTAAGAATATGAGATTAAAGTAGTTAGGAGGCCACTGGTGCAAAACGAGAACGTGCCCATCCGTCCGACAACATGACCAGTGGGTTACAGAAGGAGAATCCAGCCTCCAGAACATCTCTGGGTGTCTCTCATTAATACTCAGTCTCGAACTGTGAGCTGTACGTTGAACAGCTGGCAGTGAGATGTAAAAAGAGCCTGGCTTACAAGGCCTGGCTCCATGCCTGGCTCCTTGTGGGAGTTCAGACAGATTGTATCTCGGGGCTTCATTTTCCTCATCTGTAACACAAGGTTAGCCTGGTTTTGTTATTCTCGTGCCCTTAGCACACAAAGTAAATTAACTTAGATCAGAGGAGTGTTAACTGCAGCTCTTGCCAGATCAACCCAGCAGTTTCATCTGATCCAATCCTGGATCCGCTCTATCTCCAACACATGAGTCTCAGGAGACCTATTTTCTAAGTGAAAGTATGTTGTCTTCAGTAATAATGTTCAATATTCAGTAACTAGATTAGATTCTCTTTTCAAAATTATAGCAGATTTCATCATTTAGTGTAATCTGTTTTTGTAATCATTCTTATTTTGCCTAAAACATGTTGGATTTTACTAATTTGGGGAAACCCAGTTATTTGAAACTATAGTTGAAGTATTGTTAAAGTGCCCTTTTAGAGAACATGAATAATAGCTTTTTACTTTATGATTGGAGACTGACAAATATGTCCCAGGCACCTTTCTAAGAACTGGAGATAAAGACACAGTCTCCACCATAAGGGTCTTAGCCCAGGTGAGGAGGAAGAGAACAATTATAATCAGGTGTAACAACCTCTGCACTACGATCAAGTACAAGGCTCAAGGACACAAAGAGTGATCACACATCCCAGGCGAGGATGTCAGAGAATGTCCGAGAATGCCTCCTGGTAGGGTGATTCTTACTCTGGGTTTTGAAGACTCAGGGTGGGTTAGGCTAGCTGCTGCCATACAGCAGGTCTGCCCTGTGCAGTTGTGCAGTCTGTGCATTGTACAAGGTACTCAGCCAAGAAGATGAGTGGGGTGCTGAAATGTAACCCTTGGTCAGCTCATCAAGCCCTGTTGGGGCTGTGTCTGCAAGAAGAAAGGGACCACTTTTCTTTGCTGGAAGGCATCCATCTGCTTGCCAAGCCTTGAGCACTGCCAGGCTATGTCTTCTCAGAGGTGCTTCTTCTTCTAAATGCTCTGCCCAGAGCAGTGGGGCACCTTTTTAAAGCCAGCAGCTGCTCTGGGGCAAGGAGGATTAGAAAGAAAGAGTCAGATTTCCTGACAGAAGGACTAGATTCCAGAAATGGCAAGTAGTCCCGTGTTGCTAGAGCACTGGGTGAATGAAGCTGCCCTCTGCATGACGGACTTTATCTGTCATGACTAAAGAGTGTGACCTTGACCGTGAAGAAAGTAGGAGACCACTGGTAGATAGTGGGATCTGCGTTTCAGAGAGCTCACTCCAGCTGCCATATGGAGGAGGATGGTCAAGTGAGTGGCAGCGAGGCCAGTTAGAAAGATGTGTAGTGACCCGTTCTTCAGCATTATGACAGCCCGAGGGAGGCTATGGAGCCACGTGGGATGGTGAGACTAGTTAGGTAGCACATTATCAGGAAAATATATGTGGTGAACTTATGACTCAGATTTCCCAGGGTAGTACTGGTTCATCGCATTTTATCCCACATTGTGCTCATTAAACATATGTTTCCATTTCCAGCAGTCATAAATAGTGTTAAATATGATTAGGAGTGTGGATATGCGTGTGTGTGTGGGGGGGGAGATTCTGAAGATCAGAGTCAAGATAACCAATTAGGAAGTTGGTTCAGGTCAGAGGTAATGAGGATCGAGCTTAGAATGGTGACAGTAGAAGAGGAAAGCAAGGGAAAATGTGAAGGATACCACAGAGAAAGATAGGACTTGGCGACTGATTGGTACCAGGAGAGAAGTCTTGTTCATCTCCCATCTGTGTCATCACCAGCCATGGGGGAAAACCTGGCCTTGATTATAACTTTGTTAATTAGACATGGAGAAGATAAAAGAGAATTTGTTCCAAAAGATTTCATATAGTACTTGGAAGCTGAGCTAAATTATGACAGTTAAAATCCACTCGTCTTTTCCAAATGCCGGCTTCCATTTTTCCATATGTAATTTCTAGAGTCAAATGAATGGTTGGAAAGCATGAACATGAACAGTTAGAAGAGCAAACCTCTAAAGTTTTCACTTGGAAAGCAATAGAAAATAGAGCATTTTCTAAGAGTATTTTGCTTCCAAATAAAGCTTTGCAATATTTACTAAAGTTTTCTAATAGAGTTGGGTTAGGAGGTAAAAACATAAAAAAACTAGATTTTTCTGAAAATTGAAAGATAAATAAAGGGTCAATTTTAGAAAATTTTACCAACGACTCAGTTCAAAAGACCTTTCTTTCATTAATGAGTACTCTAGCCTCCCACACAGAATTTAATAAAATAAATAAATAAAATAAAATAATAAAATAAAACTTAATTATCCCCAGGGCAGGCCCAGTAGCGCAAGCGGTTGTGTGTGCGTGCTCCGCTGCGGTGGCTTGGGGTTCGCCGGTTTTGATCCTGGGCGCGCACTGATGCACCGCTGTCAAGCCATGCTGTGGCGGTGTCCCATATAAAGTGGAGGAAGATGGACACAGATGTTAGCCCAGGGCCAGTCTTCCTCAGCAAACAAAAGAGGAGGATTAGCAGATGTTAGCACAGGGCTGATCTTCCTTACAAAAAACAAAAAAAAAACTTAATTATCCCCAGTCAAATACATCCGGTAATCTTGGGGAACCAAATATCTGTGCAATAAGGATAAAAATATTTTCTAAACCGCTTTTACCTTATGCCAACAACTTTGCTGGAGTTACCTAAGACAAGGACGTGAAGTGGCTCCTTAGGGTAACCGAATTTAAGCCCCTTAAATAGGACTCCTCTGGCTTTCCCTGTTGCAGGTACTGCTTAGCCTCTCCTTTCTTCCCCCTGTTGGGTAGAGTTGAGTGTGGCCTGCTTGGTGTTGTGATTTATTTCTTATTTTGTAATTTATTTTTAGTTAAGCTGAGTTAGAGTCAGTTATACATTTTTAAAATGTTGACTTTTTAAGACACTACATTTAAGTCCTGCTTTCAGTTGAGCCTAAAATGTAAAAACAAACAGAAACAGTGTGTGTGTGTGTGTGTGTGTTTGTGTGTGTATTTGCCCTGGGGAGTGAGAGGTGGGGAGTGGGGAAGCAAATGAGAGGAATCTTTTCAGGCCAACCTTTGGAAATAGGAGTCTTTTTTTCCCTTTAGAGACCTAATTTGAACCAGTATAACGTTGTTGCTTTAAAAAAAGTCTAGGTTCATTTATTGCTATTTTGTTTTCAAGTATAAAATCTAAGAATGTATAAAATTGCTAATACTGTGCAATTCGAAGGTTAAAATATGAAAAAGTAGGCAAAAGACAAATTAATTAAATTTGGAAAGTCATTCAAGTAGTAGAGCAATGGCCTATGGAAGAAAATCCCAAAAATTAAAAATAAACTCTGAATTTATAGAATATACTGGCTTCCCCTTACCAAGTGTTATAGGTAACTTACTGAGTATTCTTTACTCATACTTTTATATTATTTCCTTAGACATCTCCACTGTAAAATAGGAATCAATATTTTCCCCAGTTCCAAAGATTTATTTCTAAAGTACTAAAATGCTTGCAGTTACATATTAATCAACTCTTCTCAATCACACAGACATGTGTAAAGGGACAGGTAAGCTCGAAGCCAAATTCTTTTTTAAAATCTATGCCTTTGTTATTATCTTTTTGTCTACGTCTAAGAGTCAAAGGCTTTTGAATTCTATTTACAGACCCTGGAATTCTCATTCCGTCTCTCCGACCATTCTGTTTGTTCCTCTGTGGTTATGAATTTGAGCATGAAAATAACCATATTTATGCTGTTGCTGACAGAAAAATTTGCTTATATAAAAGCGGAAGCTACATAAAAATCCATTAAATCTCAGTTTGCAGTCATTAGGGTCTCATATCAATATATGGATCACAGTGTACTACTATTATTCCTTATAGGAGTAGAGATTATTCATCCTGTGGAGGAGGCACCCATGGTTACGACAATAAGTTTAAGAGCATGGAGGTAATTCACTGCTTTCTTTTAACAAGTACTTATTGAGCACCTACTTTGTGATGGGCAATGTTCAGGACTCTTGAATACATCTGTGAACAGAAAGATAAAGATCCCTGCCCTCATGTAGCGTTCATTCTAACAAGGGGATACGGACAGTTGGCATAGTAAAGGAATGTATTATTTGGTATGTTAGGGGATAAGTGTTATGGGAAATATAAGTGTTAGAGGGTGGGAGTGTCTGCTGTATTGGGGCGAGAGCCTTCGTAGCCATCGGATGTCGGACTGTGGCTGCCACTGATGGAGGGGAAGAGCGCGATTCAGCTGGACATGTTAAGTTCAAAACATTTATCAGACGTGCAAGTAGGGATGTTAGATAGGCAATTAAGAGAGAGTCTACCCAGAGATAAACAATTGAGTTTGAGGCGTATAAATCATTGAGAAGATATGCAACTAATAAGATCCGCAGGGATTGAGCGTAGGTGGAGGGGAGGACCATGTATAGAGCCCTAAGCACTTCTCTTAGAAGAGGGGGGAGAAAAAGGGTTACCAGCAAGGAGACCTAGAAGTAGAGCCAGTGAGGCAGGAAGAAAACCAGGAGGCTGTGGTGTCCTGGAAGCCCAGGAAGAAGCTCTTGGAGGAGCCCATGAGGAAGTGTAGCCGTGTTCCCCATTGGTGAAGCTTGATGCTTGTTACACCCTGACGGTCTTATCTGGTTCCATTTGTAATACACACACCACACACACACTACACACCATACACACACACACCACACACACACTCACACCACACAACCACACACACTGCACACCATACATATACACACACCACACACCATACGTACACACACACACACACCACACACACACAAACACTACACACCATACACACACCATACACATACACACACACTACATACCATACACACACACACACATTCATACCACACATACACAAACACTACACACCATACATACACACACACATACCCCACACATACACACACACTACACACACACACACTGCACACCATACATATACATACACCACACACACACTCACACCACACATACACTACACACCATACACACACACCACACACATACACACACACTGCACACCATACATACACACCACACACACACACTACATAAAACACACATACCACACACACATACACGCATGTATATCCCTTTCCAAATAGCAAAAAATGTTAGACTCTTATCGAATGTACTGCCTCTTAACATTGTCATGATGAGTTATATCTCTGCAAATATTTGAAAAATCTCTGGAGACAAAGTGCTTCTCTATTAATTAGAGCACTATTTGACTATTAAGTTAACTGCTGCAAGAAAAACTTACACCTCCAATTCTTTGCTGAGTGTTTTGGGGAAGAAAAAATATGTATTATATGTATATACATATATATGTATGTATATATGTACACCCCTGTTACCAGAAAAGAATAGCTTATGTTTGATACTTTTCTTCTAGTTATTTGCAATCTAAAATAATTAGATCTGTTATAAAGAGTATAATTAACATTAATTAATTAAATATAAATAAAAATATTTAGGTCTGTTCATCTGAAAAATAAAGGGGAGATATATTTAAGAAATCAGTGGTTTTGTAGAAGTGCAAAAATTTAATGCTTAGAAACTTCAACATTTTTTTCGTAAATTAACATATTTGAGAAATGATATGAAAGGAATATGAAAAGAATACATGATGTTATAGGATGAATTTCTAATTTCTGTTGCCCAGACGTGGTAGCATTGTGCTGACGTTGGTTGTCCACTGTTGCCTGTATTCTCCCAGTCTGTTGACATCTGAGGTGCTGTGGATGCAGGTAGAGAGAGAAGTCAGCACAGGACGGATTGTATTTAATTGGGATTGGTACAACATCACAGGTGGAAGTGATATAAAAATCACTTTGAAATCTGAAAAGAAATCCTTACAAAGGCCTAAGTACAAATAGGAGAGCTGTTACAGAACCACAGTGTATCTCTCCTACCATCTGTTTCTGAGTTTAGATGCATCTAGTAATGGTAGGACTGTTACCACCTAGGCTATCTTTTTGGCGTATGGACCCAGTTTTAAAGAGAAGACTGAAATTGAACCATTTGAAAATATTGAAGTCTATAATCTAATATGTGGTAAGTATATCTATATAAATTCAACAGCAAAATGTGGATATAGTTTTAAAAATATGTATTATGAAATTGGTGGTAAATTGAATCCCCAAAGGTGGATGCTCTGCACTAAGAAGACAGAAAATAGAAAAGATGGAGAAGAATTATTTATTATTCAGAATTATTCAGCGATAAGAATTAATTCTTTTGTGTTTCTAGTAATGATAAACGTTAGATCCCAGGAGACCAGCTTTTCTATTAGTTATTTACTATATGAAAATTTAATTTAATAAAACTTAAATAAAATTACACTTCCAACATTTCAAAGCAAGAAAAACACGCTGAAAAACACAAGTATTTTCTTGTAATTACAGAGAGAGCTTCTGGCATAAAAGGATGGTAAGTCCTATTTGGATAGACGCTTGTTAGTACAATCAATGTTAAAAAACCTTAAAGAATTAGAGTTTTGAGGAATCTAACCTACCTTTTCTGCCTGCATGCTTACCTCAGACCATTGTATTGACAAGTCACCCATCTAGGCAAGGCAGTGGGTAAGTTACAATTTCACCTTTAGCTACAGGAATCTGGGCATAAATATGCTCACAGTTGTCGCTCTTAATCTTGTCCTGGCCTGTGGTGATGGAATGTGACTTAGAGACCAAAAAGTATCCACTTAAAAATAATGTGTTGTAGCCTTAACAGCTCAAATTCTTGGTTCCCAAAGCTGAGTTTGTGGTCAGGGCTGCTGGCCCTTTGGGAGGAGGCTTAGAAGGGACTAGAGAGGATTCCAGGTCAAGGAGAGATCTGTTTGGTAGAACTCAGGGGGAGCCACGTGAAAGCCTATGTTTGTGAGATATTTGCATGTTTTGCTTTTATAGAAAAAAACCTAGAAAAAGTTCTCTATATGTTAAGCAAAATTCCCTAGTTTAATGTTTAAATAGTATCTGTCCTTAGATAATTTTCATATAATTAAGTAAATATACTACAAATAAGGTTGTAAATTGTTTAACTTCTTTCCATTTGTTTTTACTAAAAGTATAGCTTTTTATGCTAGAAAACCATGATATGTTTAAGGAACAAATTGATGATTTAAACAATGATATTTTCTCTGGAGGAACAGAACCACTTCCTAAAAGTTCCTGCAGCTCATCTGCAGCAACTGGAAAGGCTAGGTGATGGCAAGTCAGGGGAAGAAAGTTAGTACACTGAATGGCGTGTGCAGGACGCGACTGCATTGCAGCAGAATTTGTTAAAGGAAGTGAACAGGAGGGGCTTGTTTTCTCCCAGCTCCTACAGATATGTTGTTGCCTCCAATTTAAAACCACTCTAAATTTTTTAAAACAGATCTTCTACACATTCACCCAGCACCAAACAACGGTACCCATGGCAGTTTAAACCATCTCCTAAAGGTGCCTTTTTATGAGCCATCCCATGCCAAGGAAGTGTCCGAGTTTTCTGTTTGTGGCTTTACTGTTCCGTTGCCCACAGATGATCTAGGTTGCTCATGCCCTGAGCTACAAAGGGTAAGTAATGCGTCAGGCCGGTGGCCTAGTGGTTAAGTTTGGTGTGCTCTGCTGCAGTGGTCCGGGTTCGGTTCCTGGGCACAGACCTACACCACTCCTGGGCAGCCATGCTATTGTGGCAATCCATATACAAAATAGAGGAAGATTGGTGCAGATGTTAGCTCAGGGCGCATCTTCCTCAGCAAAAAAAACAAAAAAAACCCATAAGTAATAACTTCATGTATCCATAAGAATGTAAAGGAACAACCAATGTATAACCAGGTAGCCAACAACCAGCTTTGTGTTCTAGTGCAGATATTTACCCAGTAAAGGTATGTGGTTTCTCTGAACCTTATCTGGAAATGAGAAATACATTATAAGATTAAAAGTATGTAAATATGCTTTGTAAACTGGGAAGCACTATTTGGAAGTTGTTAATTCCCTTGTGAGCTAACTGTCCTTAACCATTCAGAACAGTAGACTCCTGGAGCTCACTTTGATTTCCCTCATAAACCATCCCTCTTACAGCTTAAGAATCAGATGGTCAAGCTTGGTTACTTAGAGCAGAAATAGCTGCGAGGCTACAGGATTGCAGTCTAGCGTCAGATACACCCATGAGGGGAGATGCTGTGGAGTCTACCCAGCAAGAAGCCTAGCCTTCAGAGTGGGGGGTACTCCTTTGGGTAGCAGTGAAGAATCCCATCAGGCAGCGTGTGGAGGCTGACTGACAGTCAGTCAGCATTGGGAAGGCCTTTTTAGTGGATCAGGCACCTGGCTGAGTTCAGGAGCAGGACTTCAGATCCCAGGAGACTCTCAAGAAGGTGAGATTCGAGCGCTGGGAGGGGACCCCCAAAGGCCAGGGGTCAGAACGGGAGCTTTGAGAGCAAGGACCAAGCCCACCTGTGAGAACTGGAGCCATGGTGGGGCTGCAATTTCAGAATGGAATTGAAGTCCAGATATCAGGAGTCCATCAAGCTAAAACTAATGTCTAGATGCATTTGAGGCCGAGTTCAAATGTGGTTGTAGAGCTCAAGAGAAACCTGCTGCCTCAGGTGAGAGTTATTCCTCACAGGAAGGAGTCAGCAAAACTCCACACTCGCTAATCCTCAGAACAACATGGCACCACATAAATAAGTAACCAACCAAAGAGGCTTTGAGGGACAAAAGTCCAGTCAAACTTCCCAATAAAAATCAAATCTGAGGGAGGGTATGGGTTTCCTACCTACTGCTTCCAGTAACCTCATGGAACCACCATTTAAGGTAACAATAATAAACATTACAGAATGGGTGTTTCATTCCCATTTTAGAGATAAGGAGGGCTTAGAGAAGTTAGGTAGGTTGTCCAAGGTCACAGGAGCTTGGTTTCCCTGATTGCAAACCCCAAGTTCCTCTCTGTGAAGAATGCCCTTTGCTATTCAAAGTGTGGTCCCAGGGTCAACATCTGCGCCACTTGCAAGCTGGTGAGAGGTCCAGAGTCTCAGGCCCCACTGAGCTCAGGCTCCCTGAATCAGAAGCTGCATGTGAACAGGCCTGCTAGTGAGTTGTATGTGTTCTAAAGCTTGAGAAGCCCTGGGATGTTGTCACCCCAAGTTAGTCGTTGATTCCAGCTCTGGTCAGAATGCTGTGCCCCATTATCAGTTTTATCTTTACAAACTCGCACAAAAAAAATGTATTCCAGGGGGAGTAGTTTCTCTATACTTCTGAGTAAGTGACAGAATTGGAATTTAAACTCCAGTGAGTCTGGCTTCTTTGTTCACTAGTAAAACATTCGTGTGAGTACTGCAGAAATAATCCTGATCACTGTTTAAAACGTGTGTTATTACTGTGACTTACTTTCTCCCCCTCCCGCATCATCTTGCAGGATGCTTCTCTAGAACGTGTGAATCAAATGCTGAATCTCACCCAGGATGAAGGTAAGTCAGTAGAAAACATGTTCAGTCTTGGATGTTTAGACCTAACAAAACACAGTACTGCTCTTTTGGGGATTCTTGGAAAGAAGCTCACAGGGGCTTTTGAACATAAAGATTTTATTGCCAATATACAGGAGGCAAAGAAAACCCAGATCTAATAACCACAATAGCAAGCGTGGGGTAGTTGCAGTGGTTCCAGGAACAAAACAAATTTCTTGAAATGGTCGTGCCGCATGCTCAGTCCCCTGTTCCCTTTCTTAGATGTGAGCAGACCAACTGCCTGGGTGTGAGTCCTCCCTCTACTGCTTCCTGGCTGGGCAACCTGGGCCAAATCACTTAACCTCTCTGTGCCTCGGTCTCCTCATCTGTAATAATGGTACCCACCTCATGTAGTTGTAAAGATTTAAGGAGTTAATCCATGGAAAGAATTTATAGCAATGTTATTATTACAGGTTTTATTTTAGGTGTTCCTGTATTAAACTCTCTAGGCCTGTTTTGTGCACTTAGAATAGCGCCTGGCACCCAGTTACAGTTCAGTAAATATGTTGGTTGTTTGATAAGCTTCTTATAGTCTGCTGTGTGTTATTCCATGGCATGAATACCCTGCAGGTTTTTTAATATCAGTAATTGATGGATTTTTAGATTATAGGAGCAGACAATTAAAAGTAAATACATTAGGACATACTTTGTATAAAATTCCAGTATCTTCCCTATGACAATTATTAACATAGGTCGTCTTTGTTGTAATGTATGTACTTTTGATTTTGAGGTTTTATCTCTTCAGATATATCCTGTGACCTGTTAGCTGTTTGGCTAAATTACTCATTGAAGCCTTTGTTTTGTAATCTGTAGAATGAATAATAACGCCTACCTCATACCGTTGTAAGAAGTAAAAGAGGTTAAGTGTGTAAAATATTTATCAGAGTACTTGGCACATAACAGTCCATCTGAGAATGGTAGTTATTATGCATAGAAGCATTTGGTAATTTTATAAACGTTTTTATTTTGTTATTTTTATTTTAGTGACAGCAACAGAGAAACTAAATTTGCCCTTTGGGAGGCCCAGGGTTATGCAGAAGAACCAGGAACACTGTCTCCTTTACCATAGAGAATATGTCAGTGGATTTGGAAAAGCTATCAGGATGCCCCTGTGGAGCTCATATACAGTCCCCAAGCCAGTAAGTTCCTATGTGCATTGATCCATGCAGGCTAGAAAAACTTTGTAGTTTTCTAATATTCTGAGAGTTGAATTTTGATTTTCAGTAGAAATCCCCAAGGGAGCTCACTGGCCTGTGGCTTGTACAACAGTCTCCCAGGTACTGCTTAAAGGTATTTATAGGTGCCCTGTGGGTGCAAAAGAGCAACACATTGTGTTTTACCTGGAGGAGAAATTGGAAAGTGTTTACAGGCCATCTGTCCAACTGATAAGGCAGGGAGAAAACAAGATTTCAAAGAAAAGCAACAAGAAGTACAGAGGCACACTGTTCATTTGGTATATCCTAAGGACATGGTGGGTGCACCTCGAAGGTGAGGGTAACCAGATTATAAAGGGCTTTGTATTTATTTGAATATTTAACAAATACTTTACTGTCTGCTGTGTATTATGGTAAGCACAGGAGCACAATGTAAAAAGAGATACTTCTTCCCTGAAGGATCTAGCACTCGAGTAAGTCAGGCTAGACTTACCTGTACAGGTGAGCTACATCACAGATCTCTCCAGACTGAGGTTGGAATCCAGTTGTTTAAATCCTCTTCCCTCTTCACCCCTCTTCACCATCTGGCAAACTTCTTTTCAATAAATGATGCTGGGACGTTTGGCTACCATAAGAAAGAAAATATCAGATCCCTGCCTCACACCATATACAAAATTAAATTGTTGGTGAATTTATAGACCTACGTGTGAACAGCAAATGCATATTTTCCTTTGTGCATATCTTTATGACCATGGGATAGAGAAGGATTTCTTAGGACACAAGAAAAACAACAGCAAAAATACAGAGGCAGTTGATTAATTTGACTATATTAGCTTTAATGTGTGATAAAAAGACAAAGTTATGGATGGGACAATATATTTACATTGCGTGTAAGAAACAAATGATGAATATCTAGAATAGTAATTAGGATCCAGAATAGCTAATACATTTCTACCAATAAACAAGAGAATGACAAGCATCTTAATTAATAAATGGGCAAAGGATATGAGCCAAGCAATTGACCTTCATTAGCAATCTGGGAAATGTAAATTAAAGCAAAAATCAAAATTTGCCAAAAATCAGTCCAAATACTCCTTCAGGGCAGGGGTGGTTTTATTTAATGTATTCCCAGCACAGTAGAGTTGCCCAGTAAATGCCTATTGAATGAATGCATTGGATGAATTCATCTCAACCATAATTTTTAAAGACTTAATGACAAAGCAGTATTTTCAACCAGAAGTAAATAGTCAGGAAGCTGTTTTTGTAGAGAAAACCCTAGTATTTTAGATCCAAAGACTCTAATGACAAACCTCAACCTATTACTGTTCTTGCTATGGGTACAGATATTCCTTCTCTTTTTATGGAAAGGAAGTGATTGATTGTATCCAGTTTATTTACCCTTTTTGTTCCAATTCAAGATTTTTGGAGAAAAATAAGCACATTTCCCCACTACTAATTAAAGCTTTGTGTGTCCTGAAAGCCAACTCTGCTGCTGACAATGGTTTAATTGTGGTCAGTGGTGGGGGAGCACTAATTTTGTTTCCCAATGTGGGCAAATATGTTACAGTCATCTGAGTTGGTATATATGGTTAATGGCAACATCGCTTTCTTCATATGCACAATGTTCAGTTGTTCATGATTTTCTTCAACCTACTGTGAAAGTACTAATAAACAGCAATATGAAGTTATTTATTCCTTAAAATAATTTCTATTTGTTTTTGTTTGTGAGAGGGGCAGTATATTCAAAGCTGGTCTTACGAGTCACTTCTCTATTTTGAAAAGTCCAGGTACTAGAGATTGTGTGGAGTTAAGGGAATGTTTATATTTTTAATACTTTCTTCTGCTGTATTGCATTCCTGAATTTGTATGAGCTTTAGCGGAAATCAAAGGCAGAGAGATTGTAAGTGGGCTCAGACTAGGCATTTAGTACAATTCTTTTTTGTTGTTGCTTTAAAACTAGCTTCTTTGTCACCAGAAGTCCCTGTCCTTGTACTGATCCCGCAGAACCACTTATGTATTTCTCTCTCCATGTGACAGGATGGAATTCTAGCAATTTTCTGCTTTCTAATTCAGAAGTTACTCTGTTACTATGTTGTGGTTCAAGAAAATTACATACAAGGATGTTTTGAGATTCACATAAAAATGTTGTAAATCAGCTCTGTGTTTGAAAAATCAGACTTTAAATAAGCACTCTTTGGGGCATGGGCCCAATTGGCTTGTGCCTTTAAGTTTTATGGAGTTTTTGTTTTTCTGTGGTTTAGATGGGTTTTTAAATTGTTGTTTTTGTTGTTATTATCTCAGAAGAGTTCTGAGGAAGTAGTCGTGATTTGAAATCATGGTCCTACAACAACTGCTTCGAAACTGTTAAGGTTAATCAAACTATATGTAGGTTTTTTCTTCTGGGCCTACTCAGTAGGAAAATGTGAACTGTATTTTTCTGTTGCTAAGTGAAAAATTGAAAATAAAAGCACGAATTACAATTATTATTTAGAATATATACTTCAGAAATTTAATAGGAAATCAAAGGGCTTTTGCACAGAAGAAAATCTAACGTACTTTGAATATGTCTCCCTCTCTGTCTTTATCTAAGTATGTATATATCTCCCATACCACTGATTGTTTAAAAACCCTATATTGTTTCTAAAGTTTATTAGCTCTGATATTATAAATTATGACCCAATCATGCTTTATAAGTCTTCAAAAACTAGAGACATTATTGTGTATTGCAAAATTTTTTTTGAACTATGAGAAATCTTGTTCCTTGTAGAAAAAAATCACATGACCAGAAAAATAATTAAAAATTTATAAAGTTGTTATGCTTACCATAAGGCAAGATTGTAACTATCCAATCTGCAAATACTTAAGTTTTAGCTTTTACATTCAGCCTGCAGGAAAGACAGTGTATAACTTCAATAAAATAATTTTATCTCCTGTTCAAGTTTTATTTTATCCCCATACCACACTATAAATGAAAGAATCTCACTTTCCTGTCTGTCCTCATTGTCTACTTCTCTTGAAGAATTTTGAGAGCAAGGGAGTTCAGATTTTGTCTGTGTGTCTCAGTTCTATGTACTGTTTTCCTGACTTTCTATCCCCTGGCTTAAAAAACTCTAAGGAACTCTGAAAAGCTGGCAGGGTTTAAGCTGTTTATGTGTGTGGTGGGGGTGTTGTTTCTATGCCTTCTGTCAGGAGCTGAAGACTCAGAGATGACATGACCATATCTCGCTCAATCCTTCTAGAGGAGTGGCTATTGCATAATCTCACGTTTGTAAAGGAGGCCACGTCCCGTCTTTCCTAGTCTTGATGCACTTTTATTTAGGGATTCAAGTTTGGTATGTAAGAAAAAAGATTTCAGTTAGCAGAAAACAGTAACATTTTTTAGTACTTTCTGGCTAAAGCCATCCTGGTCCATCTCCCCCAACCCAAAGTCTATGCCACTTTGAGAAAACAGTCAACATTTTGTCCAACTAAATTGTTTGAGCACAACTTCCACAGCTGCAGAACTTCCCTCCTTAACATTTTCATAATTTTATTTTTGTAATTTTAGCTGTTGAATACAGGCATTTCGTTTTCCTTACATTATGGAAAATGCATGTATGGCTACATTTATGTATTGTGCATTTCTTCAAGTAAAACTTTCTAAACGTGAAGTTTTAGAGTAAAATTATAAAGATATGTGGTAGGGAACATCAACTCACAATATTCTGGATGTCTGTGGGGCTGACTCAGTGTTGCTATTCTTGGTTCTCCCATTTTATGACATCTTTATGTGCCCTTCTGCCAAGTGAAGAAACCTGGTCGTTCATAGCTGTTTACCATGATATATTCTTTTAAAGAATATAAACAAATGTTTTTAGTTTTCCAGTGTCTGCTACCAGGAGAGTGAAATAAATAGTGAGAACTAATTTACTGCCTCTGACATAAATATCTTCATATTTCTTGGTTCACTTCTTGTTTTGGTGGACTATACCACTCAGGAGCTTCCTGAGAAAGGAAGAAAGGAAGATACGTTTTTGAGACTTTGTGTGTCTCAAAAGATTCTTATTCAGTCTACATACTTAATTGATGGTTTATCTTTAGAATTTTAGAAATAATTTTCCTTCAAAAATAGTAGGACATTAGATTTCCTGGACTTATCCTCCAATGTTTTCATATGTTCCCTACTTTTTTACATCTCTTGTCTTAAATTCTACTTTTTGAGAGATATGTGCAACTTCATCTTATAGATCTTACTGAATATTTTATTTCTGCTGTTATATTTTTAAATCCCAAGGGCTCTTTCTGTTATGTTTCCTTTTCTGTTGCTTTCTGATCCTTCTGTATGGATGCCATATGTACTCTCATCTCTCTGAGGAGCGAGTTTTCTTCTTCTTGGTTTCTACCCCCAACCTCAGAAAATATCTAGTGGTCCTTGGCTGTCAGCTGATATTTTAAGGGTGAGACACTAAGCTACATGACAGGGGCTTGCCCGCTGATAGGCTTCACTATTGGTTGACCAGAATGAGAGCCAGCCATTTTGTTGGAGATTCCCAATTGTAAGTATCTAGTTTTCAGGCTGGTTTGTTTTCCAAAGAAAGGACACTTCTCATGTGATCCAGCATATAAGATTGGCAGGCTACATGGGGACAGTGTGACTGGGGGGAATCTTACCACTCAGCATATAGATTTTTATTGAATCCCATTGCTTTCAATATGGTGCGCCTGCTCTCTGGTGTGTCTTGTGTCCTTTAGTCTGATCATCCCTCTGGTTCCACCTCTCCAGTGAGTAAACATTCTCTCTAGCCTCTTTTACAGACTTTTAGCCTATCCCCTTCTTTCCAGCGCTACGCATATCCCCTGTCTTTAGCAGACTACAATTTCTACCCTTGAGGTTCTGCAGTAGGAATCAGCTTCTTTGTGCTTTCCCTAACCATAAGCTTTTGGTTGTCAGTGTTTGCTGGTGTGTTAAGTCATGTTACAGCAGTAAACAAATATGTTTATCTGATTTCCAGCTTCTGAAAATTTCTTATCATCCCTTATATATCTTCTTCTACTGTCTTTTTCATGGGATATGGAAGGAAGCAGAGATAAATGTGTTCAGTCAAGTTGAGAAGTCTCCTTGACTTCTGTATAGTGTTTTCCAACTGGATTGTTGCAGTGTGTTAGCGGCTACATTCTCTGTTTGGCTTTCCCCAGACTTCCCTCATCTTCAACTCCTACCTGTTCTATACCTTCCCGTGGTATGCTCTTGCCTATGAATATAGCACACAATGTAAGTTGCCTTTTCCTTTGTGAATTGATCTTGTACATTTTATTTTTTTCCCAGCTTTATTAAGATATAATTGACATACAACATCGTGTGAGTTTAAGGTGTACAACATGATTTGATACACATATATATTTTAAAATGATTACTGCATACATTTTAGACTCCATTGCTAATTTTTGCTTTAAGTACAATGCAGTGAATAGAGGAAGGATATCCTAATTTAATTTAGTCTTCTTTTTTATAAATTATAAAAAAATTTTATTAAGAAATGTATACATTATGGGCAGTAGAGGGCATATAAGTCAAAATCTCTGAAAAAATTAAATGAATAGCAAAATGTTTACTTACTCATGATTATATGCTAATCAAAATATGATAATTATGCAATACTGTATTACCTTGGGCAATACTAGGATTAGGCAGCACAATTATAGGATGCCTGCTAGCGAATAAATTATTGTATTAGTCTTTAAGTGGAGTTACAAATAAAATATAAAAAAATATATTCTTCTGTTTCACGGTAAATGAAGCATAGCTACACATTTATTTCAATCCCCAAATGAGTAAGTTTTGACAACTAGAGCTACTTTGAATTAATCTTAGGTTGATTAAAAGTTCCTGCCCAACTGAAAAATAATATCCTTAGTTCATATGTATATTTTAAAAATAAACTTTTTATATTTTATTTTCAGTTTTATTGAAATACAACATATATCCCCACCTAAAAGTTAGATCCTGAAAAGGAGTTTGGTTTTTAGCAGTAGCTCCCATTATTCCTCTGCTCTCAATTCAGGTTTTATTCTGCAAATATTCCTTTCCCAGGTGTATTTGATTTGCCCTCCTGGTGTCCCTAAACAGAAGGGAACCACAGAAGAAAACATTGCTGAAGACATCCATTTCCCTTGCTTGCGTAGACCTGATTCACTAAGAAAATAGGAAAAGGTTAAATGAAAAACATTCTAGGGAAGTTACAAACCATATAAGGTGATGGGTGAGCCACACTGTGGGCGTTCTTTTCTCTTTTTTTTCTTTCCTCTTTTTCAACAGGGAGACACATCGCCTCTTCCTCCCACTGTCCCAGACTGTCTGCGGGCTGATGTCAGGGTTGCTCCTTCTGAGAGCCAAAAATGTTCCTTCTATTCAGCAGACGAGAATATCTCCCACGGCTTCCTCTATCCTCCTGGTTGGTATAACTCTTTTTTAACAGCTTAGAAAGCCCTCATCAGCTGGATGTGGACATGTGCCTTAAACATACGCTCCCCACCGAAACTACCTGCTTGGGCTGAAGGAGCTGCCCAGGAGGCTTCCAGTGGTTGTGGGCCGGCCCAGAGCAGTGCCACAGCTATAATATAGACTAATAAATTTTGCAGTGGGAACCACACATCAGCTCTAATCTGGCCCAGATGTTCAGAGAGTTCGGCAGGTTTAAGTTTAATTTTAAAACGGAAGATTCTTTGGAAAGGGACACAAGTGTCTAAAAAAACATTTTTTCTGGCTACTGCCCAAGCTCAGGCCTGCATGGGGAATGCAGCTGTGCCTGTGAAAGGAAATCAGGCAGGAATTCAGGCCTCCTACAGTGTATGTTCACCAATTTTAAACTGTAGATTAAGCAGCTGAATGAACTTTAAGTTCATTTTAGAGAGTGTCTGTCTCTCTTGGGAACATGCAAAAGCCAGTGTGATTTCTCTAAAACTCAAATCTCTTCCCTGTTCAGCAGTAAATGTCATTTTCGTTAACTCACCCATGAGATTTTCAGCAATTTCAGCTTCTGGGAATGGGGTTACTCCTGATATTTGACTTCATTTTTCTGGAAGTCATGACCAAAGAGGTCAGTTTAGAGATTTATAATTTAGAGATTGTGAGATTTATAGTGGGGAAAAAAAAGGCGTGAAAGGCAAGTAGCACAACAATTTAAGCCCCTAACACAGAATTAGGACAAATAAACTGATATATCTTATTAACATATCTAGAGTCAATTAGAACTACCAAACTTATGCAAACCCTAGGATAAACCTTAAATAGTTGCAACACTTTATTAATAGAATTCTTTAGGGCCGGCCCCGTGGCTTAGCAGTTAAGTGCGCACGCTCCGCTGCTGGCAGCCCGGGTTCGGATCCCAGACGCGCACCGACGCACCGCTTCTCCGGCCATGCTGAGGCTGTGTCCCACATACAGCAACTAGAAGGATGTGCAGCTATGACATACAACTGTCTACTGGGGCTTTGGGGGAAAAAAATAAATAAATAAAATTAAAAAAAAAGAATTTTTTAAATGGGCATATAAAATTGTGTCTTAAGCAATAAGATATAGGTTGATATATAAATGTTTGCCTCAAGAAGGAAATGAAATTTTTTAATAACTGAACAGCTTATCTCAAAAAATATTAAGGATAAAATGAAACTCCCTTCTAACTCTCCACTATAAATTCTGTTTGTTAGAATTCCATTATAAGCTAATTCTTATTTTCCTCTGAAAAGGAGGTAATGTTGTGTTGATTGTCCTCCCAACTTTCAGCTTAAAAAGTAGAAAAGGCTTATAGGGGATCTGAGGATAGTGAACAGCATGAGAAACCTTAAGGAAAAAACCACGAACAACTTGTTTGTCCCTGCCTTTTGGTGCCCACCCACTGGCCTTTCATTTAAGTCTGAGTTAAGATACCCAAGCGGAGTTTAAATATAAACTTTTATGGGCTTGTACCTTTTTAATCCTCACAATATTTCCATGAATTAGATGCCATGAGACAAATGAAGCCCAGAAGGACAGAGCACTTTGCTCAGGTGGTTCAGCTGGGAGACAGTGGAGCTGGGCTTCCAAACCGGGCAGTCTGCTTCCAGAGCATACATGCCCAGCACTCACTCTGCTTGATAGCACGTCCATGAGTCCTCAGAGCCGATCATTTGTGGTGTCATCAGTCAGCAGTCTTCATTGGGTTAAAACTCACTTTCTTAAGAAAATTTTATTTCGGAAGAACTATTTACAATTGCCTTACTATTTTGTGAACATTCAATAGCTATGCATTCATATTGGTGTTATATGCATTGCCCAGGGCTGCTGTAACAAATTACCACAAACTTGGTGGCTTAAAGCAACAGAAATGTATTCTCTCCGAGTTCTGGAGGCCAGGAGTCTGAAATCAAGGTGTCAGCAGGGCCGTGCTCCCTTTGAAGGAGAGAATCCAGAGGAGTATCCTTCTTTACCTCTTCCAGCTTCTGGGGGAACCAGGCATCACTTAGCTTGTAGCTGCATCTCTCCAGTCTCCGCCTCCGTCTTCACATGGCCTTCTCCCCTGAGTCTCTCCTCTTCTCAGCCTTCTCTCTCCTTATAAGGACGCCAGTCCTTGGATTTAGAGCCCAGCCTAAATCCAGGATAATCTCATCTCAAGACCCTTAACATAATCACATCTGCAAAGACCCTGTTTTCCTACCTTCACCTTCACAGGTACAGGGGGTTAGGACTTGGACACAGCTTTTTGAGGGTCACCATTCAACCCACTACAGTATCAAATGCATAAAACCGCCTGCGTTACTGATGACCTCTACTGGAGAGTACTTAGTATCTTGGTGTTTAGACTGCTAATAAATTAACATTCGTATGTAATAGTAATTTACCCATTATGTAATATGTCGTATTTTCTCTTATAGCTAGATTTAATAAATTTAATTTGTTTTGCAGCAAACAGTGGAACTTCTCAGAGTCAATATGATGCTTTAATTGCAAGTAATTTGGTTCCTATGTATGAAGCATTCAAAAGTAAGTACATATTTAGATCATTAATTTAAAAATACCTAAGTGACTCTATGAACTTACAAACTAAGCACATCTTTTATTGCAATTTGTTCCTGATATTGAGTCATTTTGTTCTAATGTTTTAAATATAGAAACAGGAAGGATGTCTAACATAATTTCTTTTCACCTTCAACTTTGGGTGACTTGTTGCTAGAATTTTGATAAGTTGCTTTTGACCCTAATTTAACTGTAAAGAGCTATTCACAAAACAAAATTCTACTGACACTCATCATAAGTAAGTGAAAGGTGTTTGTCCCTAGAGTCATAATTAATAAGGCAGCGTGTGTGTTCTGGCCATTTTTAATACTCACGGTCTCAAAGGCAACTCAGCCCTAGGGAGGAATTTGGAGACATATTTAACTGTAATTTCAAGACTGCAACCATATCAACAACAAAAATCTATCGTTAATGTGGCCATTTATTTTTGTTGCATGAACTGTTTTACAGAATTATCCAATCACCATTGACAATTATTAAAGCAGAATTTGATGCTGTTTAAATGTACCTGTCTATAATAGAAGATAGTTCCATGTTCAATAGAGGTAGATATTTTTAACACCTTATTCTTTTATTTTTAGAAATATGGGATTACTTCCACAGTGTTCTTCTTGTAAAACATGCCATGGAAAGAAATGGAGTGAATGTGGTTAGTGGACCAGTATTTGATCATAATTATGATGGTCATTTTGATGCTCCAAATGAAATTACAGAGTAAGTAATTTGAAACCAAATGGACTTTTTGATTTAGCAGTAGGGTATCGTGAGGGTAAACCTTGGTATTTTAAACAAAAGCTCAGTATTCTAAACAATACACAGTATGTTTATAGAGATGTTATCTAATTATTTTCAACTAGACTATCTAAATATTCAGCCAAAACTTTACGTGGCAAAAATTTAAACTAATGGGCAAAGAAAAATTGTCCAGGAAAGCTTTAGCAACATTTTTATTCAGAAAATTTCTAAACTGATGGGCAAAGGAAGAAGGTGATTCTGTAAAGGTTAAGGAGATGGGCAAGACTCACTATACTATTGATAAATATAGAACTAGTCCAGCAATATAATAAATTAAAAAATCAAGTAGTGACGATTCATAATATTGTCCAATAGTGGATGATTCATAAAAGTATTTCCCAGGGGAGGGTGTAGGCTTCATGTAGAAAACTAGTCCTACTAAACTGTACATCTTTGTACTAAACCTGGTCGTAACAGGTTGCTAAGAATTACCTTTGAAAGCAGCACACAAGAATAGAGAGGTTTAGAAGTGTCGTCCATTATTTTACTTTATTATCAAAATGTAGGTAGGGCCAAAGTAAATAAGTGTGCTGTCTAAGCCTAGATTATGAAAAGCAATGATTTCTGCCTGCGCCTTCCTGCAGCGTAACATTTATGACAACTGAGTGTGTGGCCTTGTCCTACACTGTTTGCTTTGTCCCTATTTCAGTGTTTATGGAGCCTGCATTTCACCATTTAATAATTCTAGCAAACTCTTTGATAGCACTCTACTGTGTGCTAGCTCCTTTTCTAAGCACTTTCATAGGCTTCGTTTAATCCACAAAACATCCCTGTTAGATTCCATTGACCCCCATTTACAAATGAGGAAACTGAGACACAGATAGGGTTAAGTAACTTGTCTATGTTCCACAACTAATAAGTGGTAAAGCCAGAATACGAACCCAAGCAGTCTAGCTTGAGTCAGTGTAGAAGTTCTGATTCATAGTGATGCGTTACTGCTTATACCAGCTCATGTTCCTTTCAGTGGACTCATTCTAATAACTTACCTTTATTGTGCACTGAAAGCTTTTAAAAGTACTTTCATGTTTGTTATCTGAAACTCAAGGATTTATCTCCACGTCTACAGGAGATGGTAGCACAGGATCACCTCTGTGTTAAAGTAGAGGAGACTTAGTAAGTCATGGAACGTGAGAGGATTAGTACACATGTGGAAGTGCACAGCTGGAGTCCAAGTCAGGGCTCCTTCCCAGCCACTCTTCTGTTAGAGAAGGTCACGTGAAGTGTGGAGTCCACAGAACTAGGAAACACAGAGGGCATCATATCACGCTCTGCTTTTCTTTGTATTCTAATATTTTCCTATAATATTAAGATGACCAAGCTTGGACTTCTGTAAATCTCTGGCTCATTGAAGTCAAAAAATATGTGATAAGATTTTGTACTTTCTGTTTATTTACTTTCTTTTACTCTTCTTTTGCCTTGGTGTTTCTTTAAAAATATTTAAAGACATTTTTAATCTTTAGAAGCAAAAGTATACTAACATCCAGTCTTTTCAATTGTGTTTTCAGATATGTAGTGAACACCAGTGTTCCCATCCCAACACACTACTTTGTGGTGCTGACTAGCTGTCAAAATCAGAGCCACACCCCTGACGCCTGCCCGGGGTGGTTGGATGTCCTACCCTTTATCATCCCTCACCGCCCCACCAACGTGGAGAGCTGCCCTGTGAGTACGCCCTGGGAGAGTCTGGGACTCAAGAAAAGGATGGGTCAGAGCTCATTGGGCTTTCGGAAAAGTGATCTGACAACAATGCATGTTTCAGGTGTTTCATGGGTAGAGTTGTACTAAAAATGACCTCATTTTTTAACTTTTCCTTTGACTATTGATGTCTGTGTAATTAATATCAATTTAAACATGTATATGTCTGCATGAACATGTGTTTATATATGCATATCTTATGTATTTTATTTATATACATTTTATTCACACTCACTAATAAGGGAAGGGGTGGCATCTTATTAATATTTTGATTCTGGATACAAACGTTAAAGTTCTGTTCCAAAGTTGGCACTAAATTAAGGTTTCCTGAATGACTATGTAAATATAAAAGCTCCATCAATTTGAAACATGAAGTCTGCAATTAATTACATCTATATATATGCATATACAAAATAAGTTAGTTCAAGTAACATTCCTTTTTTAACATCATGTATTAGATAAGACCTCAAAGTCTTTTTGGATCAAGGCAAATTATGTGTAAATAGTTACTTTAACTTTCATATATGTTCTTTATAGGAAAAAATACGTATCTTGGTGATTGGGTTTTACTGAAGTTACTCAACAGATGTATTGAGTACCTATTTAATGTGCAGTATTATGATAGAAACTCTTTATAATGCACCGAGGAGGAATGCATTGTCTCTGCCCTCAAGGAGTTCATATATAATTTTGATATATAAATGAGGATAAATGAAATAGAGACACATAAATGGGTCAGCCAATAGTATAAGAATTATTTTAAAAATTAAAAAGTAAGAGATGTCACAAAGTTGGGATTAATTGCTAAACACTCTTATAAAGATTTAGTGTTTCAAATTAAAAACACATTTGGCTGGAATATTCAATAAAGGTTACGTGAAATGAGGTGGGAGTAGGGCTGGGCCCTGAAGAATGGGCAGAATTGGAATAGATGGAGAGGATCAGGAAAAATCTTCCAGTGAAGAATGGAGAGGATTTGGTAACTAATTGGATGCAAGAGCCGAATGAAAAGGGAGACTCAAAGATGAATCAGAGATTTAAATGTGGGTAATTAGGAAAAAGACAGAAAGAGGGAAGTTAGGAATGAGAACTATTTTGGCAGATAGATAGGATAATTAAGTTTAGGCATGTCAAGTTTGTAGAAATGGGCTTTCACATGGAAAATTCCAGAGGCTATTAGAGGCTGGAAATTAAAGCTTAGGTTCCAGGCCAGATTGGGATTCACCTCTATTCTTTCAGGTGTTCAACATGTAGCTGCCTTCATCATACTATGTACTGTGGGAGATACACAGATAAATCAGACGTGAATTCTATCGAAAGGGGCTCATAGTCTAGCAGTTAGAAGCCTAGTAAAATACAAGAAGGAAGAGATAAGTGGCACAAAGAGGGACAAATAAAATTGCTGTAGAATTTCAAAAGAGAAATACTTCCTGGTAGGGAAGGTGACATTCTAGCTGGGTCTTGAAGATAGGTTTTAAACTTGAGTGTTTGAATGGTCTTTCAGGGATTGAAGATGGAGGGCAAAGGTTAGAGGCTAAACAGTGGGTCACTCATAGTCCTAGAGTGAGGAAGAGTTTGCAAACAAGAAGCTGTCAGATGTTGTGTAGTTGCATCTCTTCCTACTCATCAGAATTTTATTGAGTTGAAACCAGGGTAAGCCATCATTCTTCACTTCCTCTTCCGGTGGCAGACATTGGTTACCTGAAACAATGTGTGCTCTTTACCACTGAATTGACGTTAAAAGTTCTTTATCACAGAGGTGCTAGGTAACCATTTTGGGTTGTTTAGAATGGATGTGCAGGGCCGTCCCCGTGGCTTAGCGGTTATGTGCACGCGCTCCGCTGCTGGCAGCCCAGGTTTGGATCCCGGGCACGCACCGCTTCTCCGGCCATGCTGGGGCCGTGTCCCACATACAGCAACTGGAAGGATGTGCAGCTATGACATACAACTATCTACTGGGGCTTTGGGGGGAAAAAAATAAATAAATAAAATCTTTAAAAAAAAAAAAAAAGAATGGATGTGCAAAGAAGAAACTCTTTGCTCTCCCTGGTCTAGGCCCTTATCACCTTCTATTAGGACTTATGAAGATGAACCTTAAGTAGCTTCATTGTCTCCTGTCCTCCTGCTCTTCACCTCTGTACACTACCAACTTATTCACCTTGAAATTTAGTTTTTCATTATGACATACTTTCTCATCCCCAAACTTTGATTATCTACCCTGAATAAGAATACACAAACAAACAAAAATCTCCTAGTCTGTGCTTAAGGCTCTTCACAATTTACTCTCAGTTCATCTTATAGACCCAAGTTCCATGTCAACTGAAGTCCTTGGAATTGCTTGAACCCATCTTGAGTTTCCCTACCTCAGCATCATTGCTCATACTCTTCTCTCCTCTAGAATGCTCTTTTGTTGCATCTGCTAGAAATTCCACCTATACTTCAAGATAAAGTACAAACAGAATGAAGCCTTCCCTGATCATCCAAGCAGAGATGATCTCAAAATTAGTAGGGCATCATCTCTGTTGAGTGGGACATCATCACTAATGAATCAGACGTTATACAAGGTTTTAAAGCAATTTTCAGTATAGTAATAAGGATATGACATCTATAAAGATAATTACAAGACAAAATATGATGAGTATAAAGCAAACTTAATCCCAGCTATGATTATAAGAGACTGTGAAGTTAATAAGATGTGGCTGACAATTAGATATGAGGGTGGGGAGAGGCAGGATGAGAGAGAGTCAAAGGTGACTGAAAATTTAGTCGTGACTGGCCAGGAAATATATAAGACAATCAGTTGTTTTGGGAAGGACAGACTTGCTCTTGGTGGTCTTCAGGTTGAGAAACTAGTTGACTTTCTAGGAGGATATGTGAGGAGTGGTATAGAATAGAACTTACCTGCATGGGTATTGGAGTTGGGCATCCTGGGTTCAGTTACTGACTTGACCTCTTTGGGTAAATAACTGAATATCACTTTCCTCAACTGTATAAAAAAATTCACTTCCCCTCATGAGGATTGTGAGGATTAAATGAGATATTTCGTATGAAACCCAAAGAATTCTCAATAAATAGTAAGCAAATGATGGCCATTATGAAGAAATCATGATGGAGTTACATTCTAAAGTCAACATGAAGTGAAATCATATGCAGAGAAAATCCTCTATAATAAAATCACCCAGAGAGTACAGTTACATACACAAACTGTCCCTTAATAAGTGCAAATAGCCAGTATGTCCACCAGCATTAGAACAGGTGATTGTGCTTTAAGCACTCAGTGAAATAGTTGGCCTGCTTTAAGGGTCATGTTGTATGAAAATTCCGCGCTGTTAAGTATTCTAATCACTGGGTGTGGGGAGGTACTCCCACCAGAAGGAGTTTCAGGGAACTGGCACCAGTTGTAGAAATGAGAGAGTCACAATTCCACTTCACACGTGGTCTAGGGAACGAGATTCATATTTCCTTACTTACCTTCTTCCTTCCCTTGTTCATTCCATCTTTTCTTCCCCCTTTTCCTCTTTCTTTTTTCCCTCAACTTTGTATTGTGAAATTCCTGTCAGATAAATGAGAATGTTGCCATGAGTCCCAGTGACTATCGTTATTGTAAATCACTCAGCAGGTATTGGAAAAAATACAGGTATGGAACTTTGAAGAGAAGTTCCATAGAGATAGATTTGGATTTAAATCACGGGAGTGAACTAAAATTGCCAAAGGGAAGAAAGCAGAGAGAAGAGTTCCAAAGATGGAACTGCGGGAAATGTCTGTACTTCCCAGGATGGAAAAAACTGGAGTCAGTTAAGGGAACAGAAGGTGTCGTCAAAGAGGTAAGCAGTCAGAGCTATGCGAGACAGAGGAGGAACTTTCAGAACCTAGAGGTGATTAACCAAGAGAAAGGTCTAAAAAAACCCACTCAGTGAGGTCATCCTTGACAAGGCAGTTTCATTCGTGTGGTAGCAGCCACAAGCAGACTGTCGGTGGTTAAGGAGAGTGAATGAGGACATGCTTTGGGGAGAAAAATACTGAAACTGATATTGCCTCAAGAAACTAACAAAATGAGTTGTATTTTCAGTGTAGATACATAAATATTTCTATTTATGTATCAGTTCTAATACATATGTAATCATATATATGTATATAAATCAATTACATGTACAGTCAAAAGCATGTATTTAAATATAGCTCATAAAAACTGTGTATATGCAAGGCTGCTGTTCTGTTGGGACTCACTGGTCCAGCTAGAGCAGTTGTCTACAGCTGGCTTCTGTTCAGATTGGTTGTTGCCGTTGATTTAACTAGCTTGAGTACTAACTAGCGTGAGTATCACCCTGCCTACATACAATTATGTGTTCTACTTTAAGATCATTTAATTGCAATTTTAAGAGAGGGAAGACTGTCAGGTGTTCACTAAACATTTAGTTGGATGGATACCAAATAAGCCAGGAGAGAGTAGAGGATTATAAACCAAGTGGGAGGAAACTTTATGAAAAAAGTGATCAAAAATACTAAATGCTGCTGATGGGTGAATTAGTAAAGGCAGGTGAAAAAGACTGAATTAGATTCTCCTTGGAAATATGAGCTCAAATTAGTACACAGCATATTTGTTGTTTAAAAAATTAACTCATGGGGCAGGCCCAGTGGCGCAAGCAGTTAAGTGCACGCGCTCCGCTTCGGCGGCCTGGGGTTCACAGGTTCAGATCCCGGGTGTGCACTGACGCACCACTTGTCAAGCCATGCTGTGGCGGCATCCCATATAAAGTAGAGGAAGATGGGCACGGATGTTAGCTCAGGGCCACTCTTCCTCAAGAAAAAAAAAAGGGGAGAGGGTGGGCATTGGATGTTAGCTCAGGGCTAGTCCTCCTCAAAAAAAAGAAAAACAAATTAACTCACATCATGAATCGCACACAGAGAAATGCCTCAGTGGTTAGAAACAGAGTAATTTCCCCATATACTTCCTCTGGCTCCAAGAGTAGCCACTTATTTTAAGCTGGCATATTTAAAAAACTGGTAAACCACTGCACTGAAATCAAATGACAGTTTTAACACACACTCCTCTAATTAAGCAAACTTTTACACTTTCTTACTTTTTAAAATTTAACTGAAAATTAGCAATATTATATGAATATCAGAAAATTAGTAAATAAAGAGTAAGGAATTTCATAGAAATCCACGGCTCTAAATTATTGAACTAACTTTGATATAGTAAAAAAACTATTAAAACTCAAATGGCCAAGGAATATCTGAAAAGATGCTCAACTGTACTAACTCTCACGGTAATAAAATTTAAACAGGGATAAACGCTGTTTCACCCTGCGGTTTGACAAGGATGCAGGGAAATGGGGATTATCCTCCACTGCCAATGGAAGTGTAAACTGGCACAAACACTTTGAGGAGTGCTAGGTACAACATCTGGCAAAGTCAAGGTTGCATGTACTCTAAGACCCAACAACTCCATTTGTATGTCCTAGAAACTCATGTTCTTGAACACAGGAGGCATGGGCCAAGTTATCCGTTGTAGTGTTATTTGTAATGCCCAAAATACTGTCAGTATGGCAATGAAGAAAGCTGTGCTGCCACAAACCACAGCTAACAACAGATGACTTAACTAAATCTAGATGTGTCACTATGGATAGATTATAAACATAATATTAAATGAAAAAGTAATTCTAGAATGCCACTTACAATATCATTTCTAGAAATTTCAAAACTCATAAATCAATTCCATATATTGTATATAGATGTGCAGTAAAATTTTAACAACAGTCTGGATTCACACGGACTCATGATAATGATTAGCTCTGAGTAGAGGAACACTGGGGATTTAACTTTATCCGTAAGATTTCATTTCTTTAAAAAATTTCTATCTGAAGTAAATATAAAAATAGCTAAACTTTATGACTTTGTGGTGATCTGTTATAGTATACTTTGTACTTTTAGTTTTATTTTTAATAAACAAAATTTAGCTGTATCAAATTAAGATTTAAGGCAATAAAAACCGCAGGAATATCAAATTAAGTTGTACACCTGAAACTAGTATCATGTTGTATGTCAAGTATACCTCAATAAAAAAAAGGAAAAAGGACGATTTCTAAGTAATAAAGATCTTCCTGTTAAAGAAAAATCATACCCTATAGAAAATAGCCTTTTGTTTCTTTTACAGGAAGATAAACTGGAAGCCGAATGGATTGAAGAAAGATTGAAAGAACACGTTGCCCGGGTCCGCGATGTGGAACTTCTTACTGGACTTGACTTTTATCAGGAAAAAGTACAGCCTGTCTCTGAAATTTTGCAACTAAAGACATATTTACCCACATTTGAAACCATTATTTAATTTCATCTGTAAAAGAGTTTTGGCAAAATGTAAATGATTTTTTCTGTTGAAGAATCATAAAATAAAGTTTTCTATTTTTCCTTAACTCCTCTAAAAGCCATGTTGCACAATTTTCAATACATATTCCCTTCTCTCATTTCTATGAACATGTATTATTTTAAAGTTACATTTTCTTTTGCACAGAGATTATACTATGTTATACCTTCCTTATTATATTATTTCTCTTATAATCTTTGCCTATATTTTTCTGCCCAGCATTATCTAAACAGAATGGAGTATAAGAGAAGTAGGTATCACTTTGAAACTGAATCCATTCTACAATCAGTTTTGTCATAAAACTTTTTACATTTGGCAGTTAGGCAATATTTATTAAAATAAAGTATGTACATTACCTTTATTCAGTAATTTCACCTGTAAAAACTGTGCCAACAGATATACTTTGCACAAATGCGTGAAAATATCATTTTTTACAGTAGTGAAGGCCAGAAAACAACCTAAAAGACTGGTCCAACAAGTTGTGGAATTTGTTTAAACAAACAGTGGACTGCTGTTCCAATGCTATAAAGAGAGAAGTAGATCTGTACACTGACTGTGTGGCTGTTGTTAATGAGGAGCAGGGGGCAGAATAGCATGTGTAGTACGTGTGCTGTCATTTTTTAGGGGTTGGCAAACTTTTTGTATGAAGGGCCAGATAAAATTTTTTAGGCCATACAGTCTGTTGCAACTAATCAACTCTGCCGTTACATCAAGGATGTATCCTAGGTAATATATGAAAGGAATTGGGAGTGGCTATTCCAATGAAACTTTGTTTACAAAAACAGAGGACTAGATTTGACTCACAGGCTATAGTTTGTCAACCCCTGATATATATAATAAAGCCAGTGTGGGGAGAGGCAGGAATTAATACTAAAGAGAGAGAGTAAGATAAAAGTTTTATTTTGTGACCTTTGGTATTGCCTAAAATTTAAAAAGAACACCTGTGTACTGAATCTCTTTAATTTTTCAAAATGTGGTTATTAAAGAGATCCCAGTACTTATTTGAGGGGCAACTCCATTGGTCAGATATTTGTATTGCTAGAGTGGAAATATTTCAGATTCATTTCTAATAATACAGACCAGTTTGTCCAGGGGACAGAGGCTTTGCTGGTGATGAAAAATGTTGTGGCCTAAGCTTCAAAAATCAGTTTCTCTCAGGATTTCAATTGAATTATGGTCATTAATAACTAATTGAAATGTTAACTCAGTGCCATTGGATTTTGTTTTACACATTTTCTCCACTTTTAGGATTTAGTTTAAAAATTTATTCAGTGAAAAATCTACAATACAGAGAGGCTGAAAGACAAGACATAAATTGGAAACTATCCAGCTGTATGGCAAAAATGTTAATATCCTGTATATAGATAGAATTCCGCCAATCAATGCCCCCCTGCCCCACTGCAGCCTGAAAACTAGAAGAGATCACCCAGAATTGAGACTCCACTGGGGGGAACAAGTGGAGGATGGTTACAACCCTGAACTGAGTTGAACTCTGGACGCTCTCATTGCTTCTGAGTTTCTCTGAAAGGGACTAAATTGTTTTCCATATCAGATCAAATGGGTGCTCAACATAGAAAGATTTCAGAGAAACATTAAAGTTACATTTTTTTGCATAGAGATTGTGGAATGTTATACCTTCCTTTTTTATATTCATTATCCCATTAAAAAGATATGTAGGAGTAAAATTCTGAAGGAACACTGATGATTTAACAGGACATGGAATTACAGGGAATTTCAATTGCTACTTTATAATGTTCAGTGTATAGCCCGTATTTTATAATGAGCATGTTTTATTTTAAAAATCTGAAAATCTAAACAACTTAGTTGCATTTAAAAGAAAGTATTATTTAGAAAGAATATCAAAGATAAAGAATGGTTCCAAGAGTAGTATAAAGAACTTGTATAACCTTCACCCAGCTTCATCAATTAGTAATCTCACTGTGTATATATATATTTCTATTTTTCCCCTGAAGTTTCTGCCCATTTACCTCTCAATACTTCAGAGTGTATTTCCTAAGATCAAGGACATTAACTCACACAACCCCAATCAGGAAGTTCAGTGTCAATACAATAGTATTATTTAATTTACAGATCTAATTCACATTTTCCTCATATTTTCAATAATGTCCATAATGTTTTCTTTCCTGGGATCCAAAACAATATCATTCATTGCATTAAGTTTTCTTTTCTCTTTGGTCTCTTATAACCTACAGCAGTTCCTCAGCCTTTACCAAATAACATTGGCATTTTTGATGAGTCCAGGTCATTTATTTTGTAGACTGTCTCTCCACATGGGTTTGTCTGACATCCTCATGATTGGGTCCATGTTTTGCATTTTGGGCAGGAACACTGTGTTAGTGATAGTGTGTCCTCAGTGCTTCATATCTGGAAGCACAAGATGGTGGTTTGTGCTGTTATTATTGACGCCAAAGTCGATCACTTGGTGAAGTTGGTGTTCACCAGGCATCTCTTCTGTAAAGACAGTATTTTTGCCTTTGTAGTTTATGTTATTTGTTAGGGGGAATAATTGAAATCCTATAAATATCCTGTTTTTCATTAAATTTTCACCCGTTGGCTTTAGTATCCATTCATAATTCTTCCCTGATTCAATTTTTACTATGACATTTGCAAAGGGTGATTTTTTAAACCACCATTATTCCTTCTGCATTTATTAGCATACTACTGTTCCCTTCTTATTTGTTTGTTTATTATTTGTTCGTTATCTGTATAGATTCATGGATTCTTTTTTATTCCAATGAATTAAAATACACTATAATCATTACTTACTTTGGTACTCAAATTGTCACAGATTTGGCCTGTGGGAACTCCTTTAAGTGGGCTCTTGTATCCTTTTGACACATCCTCTTCATTTCTGAGCACTTCCTTACTTTTAGGTACAAACAAAAATGTTTTAGGCTCATCTTGTGCTTTCCTTCTGCTAACTCGAATTGGCCATTTCTCCAAGGAGGCCTGGTTACATTGAGTGAGTGCTGGTGCCCTAATTACTTCTGGGGTATCATTGCGTCCAGGTCCCTTTAGTCAACAAAGGTATAATCTATGTCTACATCTCTTTGTCTGTGTCTCTCTGTTTCTATCTCTATATTTATAACTATGTATGTAAAAAGCCATGAATTTAATTACCATGCAGTACTACATGGTTCTTTCTTTCTAAGCCTTTCTTATTTCACAATTGTATCTCCCTTCTCCAATAGTGAGAAATTTGCTTCCCAACATTATCAACATATTTACTCATTTGCTCAATCCAATACATGGAACATTGGAATTGCTAACGAATACCACTGAGGCAAACAAATCTTCTAAGTAGAATTCAAGAAATATTTCCAGTTCTTTGTGTCTCTAGCTAAGAATTCATAGTTAGAATTCTGTGTTTCAAAATTACTTGGATAAATTTCCCCCTCCTTCAGTGCAGTTACATTATTCTTTGAAATACAGTAGTATTCGTTTTTGTTTATATTCCGTTTACAGGTTTTCCCATTCTTGTTGAGTCAATTTTATTTTTTTGAGTATGTGAAATATTAACATAGTTCCAAAGATTAAAATTAGATGAAAAAAGACAATGAGAAGAAGTGTCCTCCCTTTCTCCTTCCAGCCCTTTCCCATCTACCCTGTGTAGACAACTAATGTCATTAGTTTCTGCTTTATCACTCCTGTATTCATTTTCACAAAAATAAACAGATATATTTAAAAATTTTTCCTTTCTTACACAAGAAATGACATACCTGGAATCACTCCATATCAGTTTGTATAGATCTTCCTCATTTATTGTTGCATAGTACTCCATTGCATGGATGTATGTAGTTTGTTTCTTAAAGGCTCTTTTTTAAGAGCAGTGTTAGGTTTACAATAAAATTGAGAGGAAAGTACAAAGGTTTCCTATATATCCCCTATTCTTACACATACATAACCTTCCTCATTATCAACATCATTCACCAGAATGGTCATTTTCTCCCAAGGATGAATCTGCATTGATACATCATAATCATCCAAAGTCCATAGTTTACCTAAAGATTCACTCTTGGTGTACACTCTACGGTTTTGGACACTCTACGGTTTTGTACAAATAATGGCATTCATCTATCATTATAATATCATACAGAACATTTTCACTGTCCTAAAAATCCTCTGTGCTCTGCCTATTCATCTCTCTCCCCCCCACCCTTTCCCGCCACTGGCAATCACTGTTTTATTGTCTCCACAGTGTTGCCCTTTCCAGAATGTCATATGGTTGGAATGATAGACTATGTAGCCTTCTTATACTGGCTTCTTTCACTTAGTAATATGCATTTAAAGTTCCTCCATGTCTTTTCATAATTTAATAGCTCATTTCTTTTTAGCGCTGAATAATAATAATCATTGTCTGAATGTACGAGTCTATTCATTCACATACTGAAGGACATCTTGGTTGCTTCCAAGTTTTGCCAATTATGAAAAAGCTTCTATAAACATCTGTATACAGGTTTTTGTGTGGGCATGAGTTTTCAGCTCCTTTGGTTGAATACAAAGGAGTGTGATTGCTGGATCACATGGTAAGAGTATGTTTAGTTTTGTAAGAAACCGCCAAACTGTCTTCCAAAGTGGTTGTACCATTTTGCACTCCCACCATCAATGAATGAGAGTTTCTGTTGCTCCATCCTTGCTAGCACTTGGTGTTGTTAGTGTTCTGAATTTTGGCTATTCTAATAGGTGTATAGTGGTATCTCGTTGTTTTCATTTGCCTTTTCCTGATGACATATGATGTGGAGCACCTTTTCATATGCTTATTGGCCATCTGTATATCTGTTATACAGATGAGGTGTCTGTATAACATGTACATGTGAGGTGTCAAGGTCTTTTGACCATTTTTAATTACACTGCTTGTTTTCTTACTGTTGAGTTTTAAGAGTTCTTTGTATATTTTGAATAATAGTCCTTTATCAGATATATCTCTTGCAAATATTTTCTCCTAGTCTGTGGCTCGTCTTCTAATTCTCTTGATATTGTTTTTGCAGAAGTTTTAAATATTAA